TCTTGCACTGGTAAAACTTATCATAATAACATAATCACGTGAGACTTTTTTAAAGAATTGATAGTTGATGATGAAAGAGAGTCGTAAATAACAATGATATTACATAATTTTAAAAGAGTCGCACATGTACATGTTTAGTTGTCACAATAATAACAATAACAATGATATATGATATACATGTGCTCTGTAGAGTATCAATAATTACTATATCTATTACGTTGCCTACAATCGTGGCAGATTTGCAGAGTAAAATCGGGCTTCACTCCATTTTGGAGAGACACTTGCTCCTGATTTCAGCGGGACCTCCTCATGTTTTCAGCGGGGCCTCCTCATGTTTTCAGCGGGATCTTTAGTTTATTGCTCATGTTAGAAGCGGGGCCTTGAGGGATATGGTAAAATGGAAATATATAAATTTCGGCGAAGCTTTAGGAAGTGAAACTCAGAATACCTTTATTTCATATCACTATAAACATTTCAACTGAAGGGCAACGACCTTCTTCAGCTATAAAATATAGAAATATATAGATAAAGATTTAAGATGATACATTCTCTCTCCAATTATCAAATAACGAAATTCAGAACATCAGATCGTGATACTTGTTTTGCAGCAGTTGCTTTTTAGTATCACTGCCATGTGATAATTGAATTAAGTTAAATGAAAACGCTTTGTACAACATACAATTTAAGTAAACAAAAGATACCCCTTCATTTCTTTTAATTGCTCGCGATTTCAGCGGGAACTTGCTCGCGATTTCTAAATCATGGCGGGGCTTCAGATACTACCCGTGAAAAAGGTAAACAAAAGTGATAAGATTAAGGGCCCAAAAAGGTAAATTGATAGGGGTACAGTTATCCAAGATATCCCGGGCCCTCGGGAAATATCATATTGTCTCTCGGAATAAAACCAATATTGAATCCCTCTCAGTAAATAACCTTTATATAATAGCATTGTATAACTGCAATATCATTAAAGCAACACTCATCCTATACAACTCTTGAGAACGATGTACAACTCCTGGATAGCTAACTCCTGAGCAGCGTATACAACTCTTCAACTTGATATATGACATCATACTTTGGGTGGGATATAGGATATACAATATACAATTGTAGACCTCTCTTGAGGTCAACTGGCAAAATTGTACCGATCTGTAATCCTTGAAAGTTCGGAGGTCGAGGTCAACAGTACTCTCAGGGTTTACTGTTGAGGTATACACTTTGGCCAGTTGACCGAATAGAGAGGTTAACAATTGTTTGTTAGTCCGAAGAATATAATAATTTGAAGGATATAATATACAATTGTAGACCTCTCTTAAGGTCAACTGGCAAAATTGTATACCGATACTGTAAACCTTGAAAGTACTGTTGATCAAGACCAGAGGTCGAGGACACTTTTGCCAGTTGACCGAAAAGAGAGGTTAGCAATTGTTCTGTTAGTCCAAATAATATAATAATTGGACGAATATATAATCGAATATCACGTGAACATATTTGATAATCAAAGGTATCATATTTTAGCAAAAAATCCCCAAACCGTCGAATACTTGTAATTTTTTACACAACTTATTTTTTCAAAATCAAAAAAATTTCAACATTAAAAAAACATTTTTTCAAAAATAGGGGTCAACAGTACCTAGTAGTGGTCAACAGTTTACAATTGTCGACCTCCCCAGAGGTCAACCGGCAAAATTGTATACCGAGACTGTAAACCGAAAAACTACTGTTGACAGAGACCGAAGGTCGAGGTCAACAGTAGTTTCAAGGTTTACAGTCGAGGTATATGATTTTGACGGTTGATCGAATGGAGAGGCCTACAATTGTTTTGTTAGTCCGAGTAAACTAATAATACACATATAGACGACAATCATCAATCGGCATGGCTTCATTTCACAACCTTTTCTCCGAACCACGTTAGCAATATTTTTTTAGAAAATCTGGAGACAGTGCAAGTAGCTTAACTCTGTATTTGGCACATCACAGCGTACTCGTTAGTGAATTAAGGTTTATTTTAAGTTTCTATTTGTATTTTTGCTATACTTGTCGCCTAGTAAAGTCATTTTCATCAACGTTTACAAAATGTCCGTCTTCCATGTTTTTTTGTGGCGTCATGAAACTTTTTTTCAGAAGTAGCGGTCAACAGTACCTAGTAGCGGTCAACAGTACCTAGTAGCGGTCAACAGTACCTAGTAGCGGTCAACAGTACATAATTTTGACCGCTAATCACCCAATCAGAATCGAGTATTTCAGCTGAGGTACTAACAATACATTTTGTTGACCGCTCATCAACCAATCAGAATTGAGTATTTCAATTGAGATACTAACAACACAAAATGACTGATATCTGTTGTCTTTCCAAAATTATATTTAGTTACATGTATTTGTAAGCAATTTCCATACGGTAAATCAAGGGCATTTAATTTAGAAAATGTATAATCTTTATTTTTCAGATGCAATATCAATGAGATTGCCTCCCGGGCATTCTGTTCTTTATTTAGTTTGCCTTGTATCCTTTCAACTTTGATATAGACAAAGAAACCAAACAAAATACGTTTCGTTCATGGACCACTGACTCACGCGTTTTATTCATGCCCCGACCTACACCTGTAAACAGAACATAAAACAGTTTCTCTTGTTGTTCAATGATACATTATATTGGCGTTTTTGCATCAGCACATTGGTGTTGTTGCATCATCGATAAGAAACAGAGTGGTGTTGTTGCATCAATAGTGAGGAATTAAAACCACGAATTTATCGCTTCCTGATGATGCTACATGTATACCAATGACAGTTTTTTAAAATATAGATCATGCGCTAACTGCATGTGTATGATTATTGAGCAACTCGTCCTAGAAATGGGTGTAAATTGGGAATACAAAACATCGTACGAAAATCTATCACCGGAAGTCTGGCCATCTTGATGCAACAACACGGTGTTGTTGCATCACGATACCCCCCAGTGCATAACGTAATGTTCTTTTTTGTACATTGCCTGTGAAGTTGCATGCATTTTCTGTGATATTTCCATTGTCAGCTCATAAGACAAAATACTCATCTCATGATTATGAATAATGGTATTTGTTCGGTAAATGATATGCGTAACCAACCATGTTTTCTGTACCTGCAGATATGGACATGACAAGACCAAATTGATGAATTTCCCGAAAGACAAATAAATACATTATATACAGGGTGGGCCAAAAAAACAATACCCAACTTCAAATCAGGATAAAAATAGTTACATTCAATAGGATACATTGACTTAAATATAATTTTAAAGGTTATACAATTCCAAAACTTTGGTATATAACACAATGTCATGAAATCAATAGTAAAGTTTTATTATTCTCATTTGGGAGGCCTGGTTGCTATTTAAGGTCTCCAGATTTAAGGGAGAAAATAGTAAATCTGCGGAATTATGTTAATTTTTTATCTATAGAGTATCATTCTTTTGTTAGGTGAATACATGCTTGGATATTGATATTTGCATCATTGTGTGACTGAATTTATTGTTAATGAATTTCAGTGTTGTTTAATAACATTTTACACTTTATTTATTTAAACAATTTTAACAATTGCTCAATATACCCCCACCCGACCCCCTCCCCTCTGCATCAACAATAAGCTTCAAGTGGTAGCGCAATCTATCAATAGCCTTATTGAGAGATTTCTGTTGCAATTCAGCACTTTAGGATTCTGTTTCAGCTCAATGCTGTTTATTGGATGCTTTTGATTGTACCATTTCCTTGAGATGGCTCCATGTATGGCAATCAAACACATTAGCATCGGGGCTGTTGGGTGGCCAAGCATCGAGATCAATCAAATTGACACTTTGTTTGCAAAGAAATGCCAATATCTGCTCTCATCTATGGTACGAGGCAATGTCTTGTTGGAAAATAAAATCCTCGTCACATATACGTTTAATGTATTTTAACAGACCCCCTTTGAGTACTTATTGATAATAGACAACACTAAAATTCATAAACAATAAGTTTAGTCACACAATATGCAAATATACAAGCACGTATTCACCTAACAAAATGATGTTCTATAAATAAAAGAATTTACATTATTTCGCAGATTTACTATTTTCTCCCTAAAATCTGAATACCTTAAATACCGACCCGGCCTCCCAAATAAGCATAATAAAACTTTAATATTGATTTCATGACATAGTGTTATATACCAAATTGTTCAAAAATGGATTACCTTTAAAATGATATATAAATCAATGTCTCATATTGAACATAGCTATTTTCATTCTGATTTACAGTTGGGTATTGGTTTTTTTGGCCCACCCTGTATTTACTTACGATGAGAAAATGGTCATGTAACTTATTTATTTGCGTTTAAAATATTTTTCTATGTGTTCTCTAGAACAAGAATATAATCTGGTATAGGATTTGCTATTGGAAATCCCTCTTCTTTGCATCCCATCCTAGGCAAAGTGACATGCGTGGTCAATCGAGTTAGGAAAGACATCATACAAAAAATAAATAAATTCTAGTACCACAAATTTTGTAGGGTGGTATTTGTGCAAAAATAGAGAATTATATAAAATTGAGTGTTATCTTTTTTTATAAACTATTTTTAATTGGTGTTTTCAATTGAATTGAAACACTCAGTAGTGACGGAACTGTCAATCAAACAAGAGAGTGTCAAAAAGTCTGACAAGAGTGTCAACAGACTGGTTCATCAGTTATTTAAGCAATAGCTTCATAAAAACATCATATACATTCATCAAAAAATTTATATATTAGATCCTCAGGTTAAAAGAAACAATTGTTTTACTGATATGTTTTACTGGTAGAAGCCTTTTGTGATTTGTGATCCAGCACCTAAGTCGCTGTTAAGATATCATCCGAAACGATTGTTTGAACGTTGAAAACAAATAATTTTTGGTTCGGCCCTCATGTGCTTTTAATTTAATATTGATTTATAAATTGAATGTCGAGGTTTAGTATTAAGCGGGTCAATACGCAAACAATATACATACATAAAGTTTAACTGTAGGAAATACTACATGCATTCATAAAAGCTCGTGAAGAAAATGGTATACAAAGAAATATGCATCGAATTTGGTTTTTGCCTCTTATTTCTGAGATACGTCTTGTATTACCTTGTTAACGTAAATTTACATGACTAATGTTACTTGTTAAAATGTTAACATGCATAATGCAATAAACTACAAGATTATTCGAACATCTTTATATACGTAGGTACAACTTAACACTATAAACAGGATGACTACTGCATAAAACCAGGTGCTCAGTGTACCTACTTTTAAATGCACAGTTAAAGCTCCGGAAGTAAAATAACACACTTCAGTTCAACTCTGATGCAACAATCATTTCCACAAGACTGCAAGAAAACTAGATGTCACATGAAATTTATGGACGATGGATTTCTGTAAGATATGCCTGTGAATAGAGGTGGACAAGTTCCTTCCTCGGAGGAAGTTGATATAGGCCTTTCAACGCTTCCATCAACGGAATTCTCTCTTACTCCTACACGAAGAATGGAGCGGGGATGCTGCAAAGATGTTCAATCTCCTACTAGATTCACATTGACAATTTTATTTGTGATTTTGATTCTTATTAGTTTAGTATGTGTCATAGTTGTATTTCTTGAAATAGGTGGCGCTATTAACATGGGTCCACCGTGCGAAAGCTCCAAAGCAGAACATTCGGTAAGATTCTAAAACCTTTTGATCGACCGATTTTTTAAAGACAGTACTTCGGAGAGTATATTAAGAAATTAGGCTTGTATATGAGAAAATGCAGAGTTCAATAATTCTATAATTATATAATTGCATATAGTGAAAAATGTTGCCCTCTCGGTGCATGTGATTATTCACCGTAGAGTTCGTAGATTCGGAATGTTTAATTTGTTTTATGTTTTAGATATCAGACGTCATCTTGGAAAACGATGGGGTATTTGGAAAGACAACTGATGGAAAATCAATTGAGAGGTGTAAATAAATTATCTATCTTGAAAATTTGACTAATGTTTTCCTATCACTTGTCCATTCCTTGAATCACTACTCGTAACGTTGACGACCAATGCAATAAATTGTTGTTTTATATGTCTCTGGTTATTCCAAGCGCATCGCCCGTTGATTTAAATTGCTGTGTTCCATGAAGTATATTTCCTTTATGTGTGATATCGACTTTGTGAGATTTGTTTATTTTATCCATCTTCAGCTTTACATTCAAGAACAAAAATAAGATGGAAGTTACTGTTTTAACATACGGAGGAACGATCTCCCGAATCCTAGTCCCCGATCGTGAAGGAAACTTAGATGATGTCACCCTCGGGTTTGATACATTAGCAGGTATGTTTGATGAAATGAGAAATCAAAATCCTAGACAAGTACCCCTGTTTCATCAGCCTGTACCCTAAAGAAATTTGTAACTGTCGTTATTACTTATAGCAATTAACTCTAATATATCATCAAATTCACAAGTACCATCGTCTCCATTCAGTATGATGAAGTCAGCTAGAGCAGCTTGTATGTAAGAAAAGGTAGCCAGGTTTTCCTGGGGTCCATAATTCTTTCTACATTCGAGTCATCGGATGGAGCATAGATACATTTGAACGAAGTCAATAAAAGGAGGCATTCACATGCAAAATGTCACCACCTGCCATTTGTTACAGACGCTGACCGCTGCCTACCGAACGCCAGACGCCGTTTAAAAAAGTTGGATACTGCTGTTTAACAATGAGTCCACACTTGTGGTTGTGACATACTCGTAAAAATGACAATAATTCAAAATAGTTAGACATACCTCACTTTAGTTTGTATGTTTCAGATTACGAAGGATCAAATAATCCTTATTTTGGTTGCATTGTTGGTCGCTATGCCAACCGTATAGGAGGTGGTACTTTCTCTATAGATGGAGTCACTTACAATACTCCAAAGAATGATGGCGACAACAGCCTTCATGGTGGGATAGAGGGATTCAATAAGGTTAGTGAATTATTATTTATTAAAGCAAAAAGTAAAATGCTGAACTAAATGGGCAAAATTAAAGATACTATTTTTGTGAATCAATTTGGATGTGTATCACATGTTTTAGTAGGTGTAACCAGAGGCATGTAAAATAACTTGGAACATTATCGACCGTGTGTGATTTGTGTGAATTTTTTGTATCTTTTGAATCCCATATGAAAGGCTAGTAGAAGGTCATTCGATCTTGTTAATCTGAGCTGAGGGAAATTGTATTTTTTTTATGTCGGCGGCCACGCATACACTAAACCTATATCAGAGTCTGTCATATTTTCATTTACTTAGAAGTATGAATCCATCTTTTCCAGAAAGTATGGGATGCCAAAATGGATGACGATACCTTGGTGCTTACGTACGTTAGTGTAGACGGCGAGGAAGGGTTTCCTGGTCAGCTGACAACCCAAGTGACGTATAAACTGACCAATCAGAATGAAATTGTCATCACGTTTGAGGCGACTACAACTCAGGCGACACCTATATCATTAACCAATCATGCCTATTTTAATCTGGCCATTCGGGTAAAGTATAAAGTCAAACAGTAAACTAAATAATTTAAGAATGTAGAATACGTTCAAACCGAAAGTCTTGAGTAAATGTTGACAAATATAAGCAATTGTTACTTAAAACATGAGGTCCATACTTTAAAATTAAATTTTTAGGACAGCAACGTACCTACCATATATGATCACCAAGTCTCCATCAATGCTGCAAGGTACACTCCGGTAGACAGTGGTCTTATGGGTCTTATACCAACAGGTATAGTTTCTACATGTGTACCTTTTATTGGTGTTATTGCAATGACATATTGTAACAACCCACCAAATTCAGATATACTTATAATATAATTTCTCTTATTATTTGGTGTGCTGTTACTGTATTTATCTCTGTATTTAATTAGATTTTAACTTTAATTGTTTATAAGTTGTATGTTTATACGCATTCAGCTGATATTCACTCTCAAGAAGAATGCCAATCTCCAGATACATACTTTTCAGTGATGGCGTATTGATATTTTAACTGCAAATAGTACAGAATATAGTTCCAAGATTTGATTCAGTAATTAGCATTTATTATAAGCTATCTACTTTAATCACAGCTTCTTAAACATGTTTATTTATGTTAATCATATTTTGGTATCAGTGTTAGGTGTGAAATACTTTTATTTGTTAAGTTAGTATAGTAATTCGGCGTAAGGTTTTCCTCAGTAGAGAAGTTTGGTTTGTGTTCTGTTTAGATTTTTAACTGTAAGGCTGTAATGGATATATCTCCTGCATTTCGATCACTTTTGCAGTATTCCAGCTCTATAGGCGTTAGGTAACTATGTCTTTGTATTGGGCAAAACATTATCTTCAATTGGAGAAATGTTTTATGAGATTTCGTTGGGAGTTCGATATGAGAGTGAACATTGAAAGTTTATAGGCCTATATAATGCACATGGCATTATGAATTTGCATCCAGTTAAGTCATTTATGATCCCTTTTACCCTTTAATTGTCTCAGATGAGACAATTACACCAGTTCAGACCCAAAGAGTCCCCTTTAAACCTCAAAATAGCCCAGTTTTGATGGAAACCCTGATCCTTGGCCCAAATCCAGACAATCTCCAGAGAGAATTTCACCAGACAATTTAAGACAATTCCAGACAATTTAAGACAATTCCAGATAATTCAGACAGTTTAGTCAGTTCTCACTTATTGTTCTAGTGTTATTCATTGCTATTTTGTGAGATCACTCTATATTTGATGGTTTTGATACAATTAAACCATCAGAACACTGTTTTCATCATTCCTGTACAGATAACATGTCCCATGTAATGTATGCCATTAACCGCCCCCCCCCCCCTTTCCGTCATTATATACTAGAAGCACATTTCTGACCCATCCTGAAATAGAGGATTCTCTGATTTATTTGAGATGAACCTTCAAACCGGTGCAATTCCAAGTCATGAATTAGCTGTTTATAACCCATAGCTTTTGAGGGAGGGGGTATGAATGGTCCAGTTATATTGATTGAGAAATGCCGACATACAACACTGCCATCTTTCTTTGAGTATAAAACTTATTTCAAACTATTATCATATGAGATTTATCCATTTCAGTAAATAACCCGTATTGTTTAGTTGGCAATGGTACTTATTGCAATATCTCATATATTGTATTATTGTGATGTACAATTTATTGTATTATTGTAATGTCGAAGATTTTATCTATCTGGAATTGATTTATTGTTCCCTAGTATAACGAATAGTGTTATGAATCAAAACCACTTTGTACTCTTCTACTTATATCAAAATATATACTCTTCTTTTATTATATAACCAAACTTAATTATTCTGTTTTGTTCAATAATGTAAACAGAAAGGTGAAGTGAGCGATGATAATACCCCTTAGTGACCCGTTATGCAACTTATCCTGATATGAATTATTCCGTTCTGAGTTCATTTTTACAAGATTTGTCCTAGTTCTCTACACCCCTCCCCATGATTAACGTAGAATATGAAATTCATAATTTAATCCATAACATCTCCCTCTCTTTTAACCACGCTACCAAAGTATATTTTGAGGGAATGTTACACTGGTGGCAGCGGTGGGATTTTGATAGGTCCCGCCCTATCAAGACCCACGATTTTTGTGATTCTATGTCCGTTTTTAATTACCTACAGTGAAACTTTTCAGACCACCCAGTCCCCATAGCCTACCATAGGGACTGTCCCTTTTGATCGATGAAGTAGTTTTTCCCTAAATCTACTTCCTGTTATAGTGGCCACCTCCATTATATACCCTTATGGTATGTTTTCCCAACCTTGCATACCATTTTATTCTATTACAGTGAAACCATCAATTCTTGAACGATGCCCATAAAGGCCCTTGTAACACATTTATAGTGATATATTAATATCCCCGTCCATCCCTTCGTTTGTGAGTTTCTCTTTTTGTTTGTCATGATGGGCATGATGAACATATAAGAGATAGCTTGGGTGCGCGCGCACCCATACGAGGCAGTGAACGTCCCTGTAAATGTTACCTTAAAGTCCAAGTACCTCACAGACTGTGTCCAATAATATCAGTCATGAAATGTGATATATTCCTCACTGTATCCAAATCTCCAATAGTCCATGATGTCAATACCCCTGGCATCAATTATAACTAATTCTGTTGTCTCTCCACCAAAAGAACATGGCACATGTCCTAACCACAGTGCGTACACCAGACCGACCCGAGAAGTTGAGCATTCAGGTGCTCTTTTAGATAAATATAATGTATATACCAGTAAGTAAGATCTCATCCCAGCCCACATGAGATCTTTGTAAATAGTCAAGGGGCCGATAATACGAAAGTCAGGTGTGTTATTGCCTATAAGTTTAAGTAGTATTGTCTATATGATTAGGCAGTGTTCTCCACTGTTTGGTTCGAAATAGGGGCTAATGTCAGTGTAATCGCGAATAGCCTTTGCATATAACGAGACCGAGGGTGGTCTAGATCGAGAGTGGTCTAAAAGCCCACATTTAGCGAGGCAGTTTTGGCCATAACTGTCACCAGTGGCAATCAATGTCCCATCCCAGGGGAAGTTGAGTGTCAAATATCTGTGGGTAGGGGTTAATATCTTATAGTCAATGTATGTTGCTTGTATCCAACATCCATGCATTCTGGGTCTGGATTCCCTGAATAGTTCAGAGACTGTATTTGATGTGATGAGGGTCCGATATACCCTTTTAATGTTGTTATTGCCCCGGCCGGGTTAATTGTCCTGAATAGTAGGAAGTCTGTTATTGAGCTTAAATCCGATGTGGATTGGTGTAAAGTCAAACTCACAGATTCTATTGTTCCCGTATAATTATTGATGTATATAGGGCAATTTTCCTATTTGAGTTTGTTACTTTTGGGCAAAGAGCTCAAGGTACAAATGTCCTTTTCGCCAGCTGGAGACTGGTTAGTAAACAGTAGCCCCTTAGACAATGTAAATAATATATATAGTCCCGGAACAGTCAGACATTTTTCTTAATGAATTAACAAGGTGGATGTTGTTCAAGTAGACCAAGTTAGACAAGTGATGTTCTAATAATGACCGTAGTAGTATTGCTTGACAGTCCAAAGCTGTCCCATTATTCCATATAGTTCCAACAGATGGAGCCATTAGTCCCGCCCGTGGTGAAAGAATTCAAATAGAATTCAAATTAGAAGGTTTCTATGAAACTTGAATATATATTGTTTCTATGAAACAGAATCTCATTATTAGTCCAAAAGTCCAAGTTAGACCCAATAAGAATGGATGTCCCATAGGAGAATCCCAATATCCCAAGATACCTGGAAACCAATGTTGTAGTATTTATCCAAATGTTACGAATTCACCCAAGACCAATATCATAATCCCCATGGAAGTATGGTGACCAACTCGATTCCCCATGTAGATAAGAAGTTATGTCCTTTGTCCCTTATATCATACCCATTCATATTTGTGAGAATGTGAAAAAATTGACTTATGTACCGATGGTGTGACCCTGTCCCGTTATTGGTTTATTTTCTGGTGTATTGCTATTTCATGATAGGAAGTCAGTATAGCAATGTTTCAGGGTTGCAGAACAGAAGATGTCAACTTAGCCAGATGCAAGCTGAATATTCACCACTACGATTTACAGACCTGTCAACCTCTCATATATTTTTACGGGAATTAACTGACCATTAAAGAACACTGAGCAATATTCTCAAATGCATGAAGTTTGAACATTTGGTGCATTGACAAGATTGATGTCAGATAATAAACTGCAGTGAATAAACTGTTGAACTTTGATATTGCAGCTCCAGAATGCAGCAATATGTATAAAGAAAATAAAGACAGTGTGAATTGCTATAACACAGGTGCTGACTTGATAACAAATATTAATGACTTATATTTTTATTTGTTAAGCGTGTTCGGGTCGAACACTTATTAAAGAGGGAAGCTGTGTAACAACCCACCAAATTCAGATATACTTATAATATAATTTCTCTTATTATTTGGTGTGCTGTTACTGTATTTATCTCTGTATTTAATTAGATTTTAACTTTAATTGTTTATAAGTTGTATGTTTATACGCATTCAGCTGATATTCACTCTCAAGAAGAATGCCAATCTCCAGATACATACTTTTCAGTGATGGCGTATTGATATTTTAACTGCAAATAGTACAGAATATAGTTCCAAGATTTGATTCAGTAATTAGCATTTATTATAAGCTATCTACTTTAATCACAGCTTCTTAAACATGTTTATTTATGTTAATCATATTTTGGTATCAGTGTTAGGTGTGAAATACTTTTATTTGTTAAGTTAGTATAGTAATTCGGCGTAAGGTTTTCCTCAGTAGAGAAGTTTGGTTTGTGTTCTGTTTAGATTTTTAACTGTAAGGCTGTAATGGATATATCTCCTGCATTTCGATCACTTTTGCAGTATTCCAGCTCTATAGGCGTTAGGTAACTATGTCTTTGTATTGGGCAAAACATTATCTTCAATTGGAGAAATGTTTTATGAGATTTCGTTGGGAGTTCGATATGAGAGTGAACATTGAAAGTTTATAGGCCTATATAATGCACATGGCATTATGAATTTGCATCCAGTTAAGTCATTTATGATCCCTTTTACCCTTTAATTGTCTCAGATGAGACAATTACACCAGTTCAGACCCAAAGAGTCCCCTTTAAACCTCAAAATAGCCCAGTTTTGATGGAAACCCTGATCCTTGGCCCAAATCCAGACAATCTCCAGAGAGAATTTCACCAGACAATTTAAGACAATTCCAGACAATTTAAGACAATTCCAGATAATTCAGACAGTTTAGTCAGTTCTCACTTATTGTTCTAGTGTTATTCATTGCTATTTTGTGAGATCACTCTATATTTGATGGTTTTGATACAATTAAACCATCAGAACACTGTTTTCATCATTCCTGTACAGATAACATGTCCCATGTAATGTATGCCATTAACCGCCCCCCCCCCCCCCTTTCCGTCATTATATACTAGAAGCACATTTCTGACCCATCCTGAAATAGAGGATTCTCTGATTTATTTGAGATGAACCTTCAAACCGGTGCAATTCCAAGTCATGAATTAGCTGTTTATAACCCATAGCTTTTGAGGGAGGGGGTATGAATGGTCCAGTTATATTGATTGAGAAATGCCGACATACAACACTGCCATCTTTCTTTGAGTATAAAACTTATTTCAAACTATTATCATATGAGATTTATCCATTTCAGTAAATAACCCGTATTGTTTAGTTGGCAATGGTACTTATTGCAATATCTCATATATTGTATTATTGTGATGTACAATTTATTGTATTATTGTAATGTCGAAGATTTTATCTATCTGGAATTGATTTATTGTTCCCTAGTATAACGAATAGTGTTATGAATCAAAACCACTTTGTACTCTTCTACTTATATCAAAATATATACTCTTCTTTTATTATATAACCAAACTTAATTATTCTGTTTTGTTCAATAATGTAAACAGAAAGGTGAAGTGAGCGATGATAATACCCCTTAGTGACCCGTTATGCAACTTATCCTGATATGAATTATTCCGTTCTGAGTTCATTTTTACAAGATTTGTCCTAGTTCTCTACACCCCTCCCCATGATTAACGTAGAATATGAAATTCATAATTTAATCCATAACATCTCCCTCTCTTTTAACCACGCTACCAAAGTATATTTTGAGGGAATGTTACAATATTACTCTGAAGAAATGAAATAGCAATCATCGGAGAAGTTGAAAATTAAGCCCCATGAGTTTTTTTTGTTTTCCCATGGTCCATGCTTTTCCTATGGCAGAATTGTAGAGGGTATGGGCCCTATAGTTTTTCGTTTAAGTTGTAAATATGTTGCACATTTTTGCAGGTGAACTGGCAACTGTATCAGGTACTCTATTTGATCTCAAAACATCAACAATGCTGTCGGAGAGAATAAACGATATCCCTGGAGGTGGATACGATCACAACTTCTGCATTAATGGGCCTACCGGTAGAAAGGTCGCTGCAAGGTTTGTCCCTTTGCATGTAATAATTGTAGTAGCCTAGCCATAGGATAAACCGTTGTATATTATATTAGTTTTGTATCATAATTATTTTAATAATTTTCGGTCTCTAATTATGTCACATGCTTTTCTTGAAGCAGCCATTTTTCATGATTACCACGGACTTTAAGAAAACTATACAGAAGAACTTCTTTCCTTTATCTAGGGTTGAGCATGCTGCATCTGGAAGAGTACTCGAAGTATTCACAAACCAACCAGGAATGCAGTTCTATACGGGAAATTTTCTTGGTGGATTTGCTGGCAAGTCTGGCGCTAATTATACCCGCCATACAGGATTTGCCATGGAACCCCAGACATACCCTGATTCACCAAACAAAGCCAACTTTCCCGATGCCATTCTCCATCCGGGCTCTACTTATAACCACGAGATGACATACAAGTTTTCTGTCAAAGCATGATGACTAAATTGACAATTCGAAAGAGACATGTATTGTGAAGAAAACACAAGTTATTTGGAGAAATGATATTGACACGGTAACGGTTAAGGTGTGTTATATACAAAGATATAATAAGCTGTATAAAGATGAAACACATACATGTATACGTGAACATGCATGATTGTTTAAATATAACAATGAATACATTTACTGTAGATGAATTCCGTAATATAGCAGTCATGTTCGAAGAATTCATGAACAGTCGTAAAGAGAGGATCGGAAAACAAATAAAACAAAACCACCACAACAAAGACAGAAACGAGTTGGGATCTAGAGTGACTTTTGAAAATATTACAGCATTCCACGTCAAGTTTCTTCTTAAAAGACCAAAGGTTCTGACTTTATTTCAGGATAATCCTTTGGCCAAAGGTTATCTGGAAAGACACTGGCCAGATCGAATAAAATGTTGGACATTTTTTCATACACCTAAGCTTGCTTTTTGAAAAGATTGTTTACATCATTTTCCTTGCAGCAATCCTCATTATTCTTTTCTTCCCCTTTAAGGTACTCCGTAATTTGAAATGTAACAATGTGATATGAACTGTATGAATAAAACAATAGAATACGGTAACATGTTAATAATTGATGGTAACGTATAAGATAACCTACAATAATAATCACATCGAACAACTTCAACACATGTATCACAGGTATCATATAACGACATACTTGCAGTATTTCATTGCAAATTCAATTGTGTCCTCCTCTTGACGTGTTTAGAACCTTTAATAATCGCAATAGAAAGGAGAATGTCTGCAAATCAGAGCTCTACAGAGGTAACATTATCCAATAATGGACCTTATGGAACTATGTCAGATGGGAGACAAGTTGACAGGTATGTATAGAATACACACTTAATTTATATAGCGTAAGGCATTGTGATTGATTTGGGAGATGCATATAAACAGACGTCTGGCCATGAACATTAAAACTAATGATCTTAGCTCGAATCCTTTGGGCAAGGATGAAGAAAAGTCAATGTTACATGTGTCCAGTCCATATCATTATTTCACCAGTTGGAATCCCACCTTATATGTCTCAATTCAATTCAAAATTAAGTTCTATGTGAACTTCACATCCAAATATTCTATTGGGTTTATGAACTTCCAGCTACAAATGAAACCAATTGTACAAAAGTAGAATATCCACAAGATACAATATGCGAAGTGCTTTTAGGTTTTGCACAAACAGACAGGTTTTATATTTCAAACCATAATGTGATCCTCTATATATTCAGTTTCACATTCAAAAATAAGAATGGAATGGAGGTGACAGTTCTCACGCTAGGTGGCACTATAGCACAATTGCTGGTGCCTGATAACAAGGGGCAATTTGATGACGTCACGCTTGGATTTGACAACTTAGAAGGTAAAATGTACAATTTTCAATTAGAAGTAAAGAAAACAATTGAATATGAAAGAATACTATATCTAGTACACGGATTTGTTCTGATTTGTTCAGGTATGATATTCTATAATCTTCTATATATTTATAACGGCGCGGTACGGTATATGGAGCAGAAATGATGATCTTGTATTTGACCAGATGATTAACCCCTGGAGGCTTTCAATTTGCATATCAATCTATCGTTTCAGGATATGCAGGTCCAACCAATAGATTTTTTGGTTGTATCGCCGGTCGCTATGCCAACCGTATAGGAGGTGGTACTTTTTCTATAGATGGAGTCACTTACAACACCCCTAAAAATAATGGCGAGAATACCCTCCACGGTGGCAAAGAAGGATTTAATAAGGTACCATGGACAGGTCTAGTTTTCTAAATTCATTTGAAACGGTACAACATCTCCTACGATGCATTTAAGATTAATTACTGGCGCCCTTATTAATAAGAATATTTTATTTCATAACCCACTTACTAGTATGTAGCAACACAATAGAATGACCTGTATATTTTATTGTTAAGAATTTACAGTTGTAAGAAAAGATCTAGAAGAGTACATTCTTTTTTGTTTTTAGAGAATGGACACTTGACGTATTCAATCAATAGTTGAATAGTCAATAGAAAAGAAATCAAACTTTAAATTGAATAGTACAGTGTAAGCTTACATGGATCATTGATCATTTATCTTTCATAGGAGTCAGTTTGGGTTTTAAGTAATATAAACCATTCGAATGGTTTAATACATAAACAAAACCATACCTTTATTGTTGATTTTTCTATCCCTCCTTCTGAGTTCATCCACTTGGTCGGATCAAGCCATTTCTAGTAATCAAGGGCTGGTCACGTGTCTCCGCAGGCTTTCACGTCACCCACAAATTAAATACACACCTATTGCACGTTTCGCATCTTGTACATGATACAGGTGCAGATGCCGATGTTCGAAAGATTATGTTTAAAGCTCTTCTATGAAATTAGATTTGATATTTAAATATTGTTTATTTTTTACAATATATCTTTTAAGAAAGTTTGGGATGCCAAGACTGACAATAACAGGCTTATTCTCTCATATGTCAGTGCAGACGGCGAAGAAGGATTTCCGGGTCAGGTGACCACGCACATGACCTATCAACTGACCAATGACAACGAGATTATCATATCATATGAATGTACAACAACTAAGCCAACACCAATCAATTTGACCAATCACTCATACTTTAATCTTGCCATCAAGGTAATATAATATATAATTTTGAAAATTATTTACCGCTTCAAGTTCCTCATACGAGCGTTCAACCCACAACCATCCATATATTAGCTCAAAGTAAGATGATGCACAACATTTTCTTTTTGCATTTGATACTTCGTTGTATTGGTATCTGTATTGTAGTTTTTTAAACATATTTTCTAATCATTTTAGGACAAGGTAGTGCCACCTATCTATGACCACAAAGTATGTATTAATGCTGAGAGGTACACACCAGTAAATGAGGCACTCATTACTACGGGTAGGACAGACATTCTACTTATTTCATGTTAAGAAGTCCGTCCGAAGCCAGAATTTCATTTTTCATTTAATATTCTCGTTATGTTTCAGGGGAACTGTCTCTTGTTGAAGGAACGGTGTTTGATCTCAGTACACCTACGCATTTGTCCCTGGATAGACTAGATGAAGTTCCAGGTGGTGGATATGATCATAACTTCTGTATACGAGGACCAACTGGCAGAAGACATGCTGCAAGGTATTTCCTGCCTTACATTCAAAAGTTATTTAAAAGAGCTTGAATATTGAAGATTTATTTCTGGGTTAGGCTTCCTAAACCTATCAAAAATATTAAACATGATTTGGGACAAGTTCTGGCTTTAGTTTGCAGTTCCAGAAAGAGAATGCTCTTAAAAAATCATGTGACACTTCACTTGATATTATTCGGATTTAATCATCAAATTTGGAACTTTCTTCGTGGACTTTTTGAAGACTGTGACAATATTTCTAGCTGTGGGGATAAGTCATATTTAAAAACATTAAAGAGTTTTGACGATGGGTTGGACATTTCAATTGATGATGTGATTCCTTGATTCAGGATTGAGCATGAGACAACAGGGAGAGTCTTAGATGTGTTTACGAACCAACCAGGGATGCAGTTTTATACTGGTAACTTTCTAGGCGGATTTCCCGGTAAGTCCAGAGCCAACTATTCCAAACACACTGGCTTCTGCACAGAACCACAGGTCTTCCCAGATTCCCCTAATAAGGTATGGTACTATTTCCAAGTCAATTTGTGTGGCTCAATAAAAAAGTAAAAGGGTCACAGTAATATTATATAAACGAAAACTCGTGTAGCGTATAACGTTTTTCTGAGTTTTTCAACCACAACGTATGTAACTATTGTATTTGCAACTATCTTTAACATAAAGTATAATTCTGGTAGTTTGTTCTTTGATGCAATTTATAAGTGCACGATAACCTGAACTGAAGTTGCTGTATTTCTATATTTTTGTTTCTTTCTAATATAGTATTCTATGCCATGCTACGCCATGCCACGCCATGCCACGCCATGCCATGCCATTCCATGCTATGCTATGATATGCTATATATATTGTTTTTCAGTCCAACTTTCCCGATTCAATTCTGAGACCAGGATCAACGTACAAGCATGAGATTGTCTTCAAATTCTCTGTAACAGCTTAACTCTCTAAATATAGATGGCAACAATACTTCCAATGATATAACATTTTGTACGAAGCCATATGAGGTCAAAAGTACATCCAAATGAAAAATAAATACATGCTTCCTTACAAAAACAAACAACACCGATAACAAGTGGAGTTTTTTTAAGATCGACAGCTTTAGGTTGTTGCCTTAGCAACTGTTTTTAAATAACCGTGGCTTTCTAATTTACCATCTAGTGTATTTTCTCGAAATAGTTTTTCTCCATTCTCTTTTCTCACTGCAATTACATTTTCTTTGGAATAAGGGGTTATGGTATCGTACTTGGAAGTAGAATGTGAATTTGTGATACTTAGAAAGTTCATACTACCAACTTAAGATGGATGTAAATTGACAATTGAGGTATTACCCCGGAGGTGTTAAAATTATTTTTGAAAAATTAAACCCCCTGGGCCTATGTTTTAAATTTTGACAAATTAAGGCAGACATCAATGCCCGTTTTTTGAAAAATGCAAATATTTTGGCATATAGCATATAAAAAGTCCCACTTTCAGGCCAAAAATGAAAAATGAAGTGACCCAATCAGATGCTTTCTCTATGTGCTTTGAAATTGTCTATATATTGTTTATTCCTTGATCTAAATACGCATCTACATATGCTGATCATGATCAACTCCCAAAATGTATTAAAAACGAATCGATACCCAATATAATTTACTGATGGTTTAGATAAAAGCTACAATGGTTTTAGAATTGTTGTTTTGCTTTGATCAATTAATTGCTTAGTTGTATAAATCTAAGTTGTCAATTATTTGGAATTCGAATCATGCCATGTGTTTTATGTGTTTTTGTAATTGTTTTTAAATAAGATCATAGAAGTAATATGCGTTTTTGGAGATATATTGCTTTGTATCACTTCACTACTAACTGTATATCGATTCCATTATGAGAGAAATAAAATTCACAAGATATGAAATTGAACGGTATCCTGTTTCTACTGAAAGAGGGGATGTACCAGTACTTACCCCCTCAGCTTCTTCTCTAGAACTGATGAACCATAATAATTGCTGCAACGCTCGGATAAAGCGAGGACTTTTGATACTTCTTGTCATAGTAGTCGGACTATTTGTACTTCATTGTCAAAACAATATTTACAACAGCAGTATTTGGGAACCAAAATCTGATTTTCCCGACCAGATGCCTAATGAGGCAAACCCTGGTGCACAAAGAACACATAGAAAAACTGACATTAGGAGAAACATGATATATGGATATAAGGAACCCCAGTCATCTAATCATAACCAATCAACAGCTCCTATTAAACATTTAAATATTAACACCAAAATTGCGAACGGCAAATTGTTATATAATCGAATACCAAAGTGTGGTAGTACGACCTTGTTTCGTATTTTACAGGTGCTCAGGAGCCAGGAAAAACGTTTTGTTTATTCACATTCTCCTATTTTCTCTCACAAATTTCTTAATCTTACTGAACAGGTAAGGAACGATGATTGTTAATATGCAAGATCATATTGGGTAGCAAATGGGGACATTTCTTTCAGTCCCTCAGGAAGATGTCATTATGATCTTTCATTTCTTTGTTAATCCGTTGCACAGTCCCAATACGGGCCATTGGATTTTCTTGGTTTGTATAACTGAATATAGGGCCTAAATGTTAGGACTGTGCTTAAAATTGAATTCCAATGTCGAAGGGTCACTTAATCATTGTATGTCGTCATTTCATTAAACAATATGCTATACACAAGACTAATATCATATGGGAAGCCATAGGTGTGCCATATGGGTACCATAGGAATTGCAAATGGAGGTGCCAGAATTTGGCCACTACCATTTTTTTCGTATGACAGTTGCAGAAAATTATAAATATGATACGAAATGAACTAACTATACCCCCAGTCCGTAAATCAACATTTGTTTATTTTTAGGAGAAATTTGTGAAAACATTTTCAAGGAGAAAACCACCATTTGGGATGGATAGACACCTGTATTTTATCAACTTTGAGAAGTAAGTTCACCCAAGAAGAATTTGCCCTTGGTCAGTTTTCACACTTCGACATCCAAGGTGTTATAACAGTTGGAGCAACTGAAGATCCAGTTTTTAAAAAGTATAATAGCCTAAGTGAAAAACATCAAGAAATATTAAAGGACAACTGAAATAGCTTTTCTCAACTTGCAGCTACAAAAATGCGGTTTTCTCCATTGTAAGCCCACCATAGAGGTCTTGCGACAGCCATTATAAAATAAATGTTAGATAACTGCTAACGGTCATAGATAACGAAATAAAACTAAGTGACTAATCAAATTGGCCCCCACGTGATTAGTAACGTCATATACAAAATATAGCTTTGGTTTATTGGTTCCATAGTAATCACAACGTCACGGCAACCATAGGATTGTTGTGTAAACAAATAACAAAATATTTTGGCATTATGACGTCGTGATCTAATGGACCATAACGGGCCACGTGGGGACCAGTGAGAGATCACGTGGGGGCCAATAACGTCACAACCAATTCGAATATTGCTTATTAAGCAGCTATATAACGATCGTTAGAAATAGTTTTCTCACTACTGATGAGAAAACATGTCCAAATACATCTATCAAAAAATTATATTGATTCCTTTAGGTTAAAAATACCATTTCATATCTGCTTTAAGTAATCAGAATGCAAATGTTTATATACACTGACAAAAAAGTTGTGTAGTTGTAGTAATTTAGTATTTCCTAAAGCCAAATTGTGACTGCAATCGAGATTTGCAAGTAAATTGTATGCCCTGAAATTCTTAATTGCTAGATTTTTTAAATCGCCAAAAATAACCAAAATAGACATGTAGTCCAATAGGAGGACTGGGTTTGTTAGACATTTCCAAGAAACTGTATTAACATGGTGTGTCTGAAAATTACAGATTTGGTTTCTCTAATCCTATCTACATCAATATAGTGAGGAATCCACTGGATAGATTGGTCTCAGATTACTACTTCAGAAGAATAAAACAAAACAAAGCAAAGTCCAGATTCACCAAGGATGAAATAAATATGGTTGGAGTTTTTTCCACTTTCAAAGTAACAAAATGTATATCCCAATCGATTTTGCAATATTCACCATATTTTTGTCGTAACTGCTCGTAAATACGATAACAATATATCGGTTATTTTTGACGACCTGAGTATTCCATTTTGTTTGTTTATATCTATCGATATTTTAGTTGAACTCGTGTGATTTGCTCTATGAATCATTAAAGTGCCCGATAAAGTATAAAATGCGCATGCGTCCAGGTGCTGATAAACTATAAATAGCGAAAACCCAGGGTTTGTCACCACAAGGTAAGCCAGGACGTGTTGAGAGAACTGCTAGTGTTGATATTGAATTTATATGTAGCCAGATAAGTTTCCTTATTGAAATTACATATGGTTATTAGCAATACTTTGTAGGTGCTAAATAATAAAATATTTAGAGTATATATGAGAGAAATTGGTCATTTCGAACCTGTTGAAAAGTTTGTGGCTCTCGGCTACACCGGGGAATTTACTTCCATGAGTACACACATAAATGTGGGGTTCCCCAAGAGGTACGCGACAAGGTGACCTGGCATCAAATGTGCGACTAAATGCTACTATCGAGATGATAAAATAACGAATACGACAATAAGTTATTGCATGTGACAATTCCGAGCCTTCATCTCACTGAAGTATTTTGAAGTGAAAATAGGATTTTTGTTTTGATACATGGATTCAGATGAACGTAACTTTATTCTGCCAACTGAACAAAATTGATTGTACGTAACAGACAATTTATTGTTTTACAATGTTTTGATTGGCTAAACGAATGAAACCAACAAATTATGACATGTAAAATGACCATTTTGAAATGTAAAATTTAAAAGTGACAAACACAACCTCCCTATCCACTCTTTGGGAGTCCTAGTAAATTAGTAATATGTTACTCACTTCGAGAGCCATGTTAGATTTTGAAACTTATGGCTCTCAAACGGAGAAGTGAACAGCTGATCAATAGTGACCTTTGAAATTGAATTAAGTCGATCCGCGGCTTACTTTTGGTCTCTAACTGTGTCTTACATCAGTATCATCAATCCGTGTAAGTATTGGAGCGCTGGAGTACTTCTTTTTCGATCAAGACTTGTAAATTGTTCATCGAGTTAAAGTTTTACAGACCTATTTCCAATATGGCGGTTTGCTAGATGCGAGATACGCAACGAACGAAATGAATTTTGAGAATTAGTTAGGTTCGGACAACCTCCGGAGATTTACGAAAATGTCCGAGCAGAAACCGCCATATTGGAATTTGGCAGTAAAACGATTCACTCGACTAACAATTACAAGTCTTGATCGAAAAAGAAGTACTCCAGCGCTCCAATACTTACACGGATTGATGATACTGATGTAAGACACAGTTAGAGACCAAAAGTAAGCCGCGGATCGACTTAATTCGATTTCAAAGGTCACGATCATTGAGCTGTCCAAATGCTCCGTGGGAAAGCTATTATATCAAAATCCAAATAGCTTTCGCAGGAAGTAAGTAATATGTACATGCAGCAGTGGTAGTGTGCAGCGGTACACTACGCTTTGTATTCTAAAGCCTGTTGTTTGTAATAACACTGTTCACTCAACGTATGTTTTGTGTGTGGCAGTCAACGATAATCATTGTTTTATCCCGGTTATATGACAAAACCGTACTAAACGAAAAAACGCAAATAAGAGAAAGCTTCCACACACATATAAAAAATGAACTAGTCTAATCCGCCAGTATAAACTCTGTGCTATACGTAACCGGGTCAGGCGCACACTTTAAGGGACTCAATGTTTCCACATCATCCACAGATCATGAGTCATGTGTTATTTTCACACTTTGCATTTATATATTTTGTACAGTCTCACTTTTTAGAAAGGAATTTTAGAAAGGAAACTATTTTGCGACTGTTTCGATCAATGGTCAAATGGTAAAAACTAGGTTAACACTAACCATATGTTTTCACTGAACTGCCAACTTGAAATTATAAAATTGACGAGGTTTATCAATTTCTCTGAATCTAAAAATAACTCGAAAAATAACTTGGTTGTAATTTCAAGAATACAAATTATTTGAAATGCCATGTTCCCATTGGCTGTTTGATATATCTTGACGAGGTATATGTGAATAAATGACATAATTCGTGAATTGATTTCCCATATCACTTTCACATTAACAGGTTCTTGCTCTTTGTTTTTATGTTTTCTCAATATTGAGTTTGTCCAGTGATTAAAACTAGAATATTTTTGGTTTGTAGACTTTGGACAATTGCATATCTCGTCTTGGAATGAATACTTGCATTAGTGTTGATCGAAATATTTACACAAAATGGTTCTGTGGACATGTAAGTGATATTTGCAGGTAAGGAAGTGAACCTGATATTACCACATACCGTAGCTTAGTGATCGCTTACTGAGACATTAAAGGATAACTTTTTGAAAAATGGTCACAATTTTATATTTTTGCACACAATATTCCTTGTCTATTTGCCTATATTTCAACCTTTTTTAAGGTTCTTTGGGCAATCATTCTGAAAAAGAGGATGTCCCCTATTTCAATTCTATTGTTTTTTGCCCAGCATTTTAATACTTCTACATGCACATTACCATTACTGCCACTTTTATTAAGATCGAGTAAACATTTACACAATTCATGAACAATGTGAACTAGAATATGTGTTTTTGTTTTGCAGTAATCCTGAGAGAGCAACCGCCTTAGCCAAGTATAACATAGATAACATATACACTCTGATTGGTGTCACTGAGTTCTTCACTGAAACACTCGAACTCTTGGAATATAAAATTCCACTTTTCTTCAAAGGTGCTTTTAATTTGTTCAAAAGTAAGTTCGTCATTAAACTGATGATTATCACAAAAAACAAAGCAAACTCTAAAATCGAAAGTGACAGTAATTTTCAATTGACACTAATCTGACTGATAAGGATTTTTGTTGACTTGTTTATGTTCATGACAAAAAAAATATACAACAATGACTGAGTGACACGTTTAGCAAGTGCAATGAGGAAGAAGCACAAGACAAGGTGAAACCAGTTGATGCAGTTGTGCACGTGAACAGGGCACTGGCGGATCCAGAAGCTAACAAGGGGCGGGGGCCAAAATTCAAGTCCGAAAAAAATTGGTCCCTTGAATCCAAAAATTTTGAAAATTTATGGCCCATTGTTTGATAATTTGGCCTAAAAAGGCCCGAAAGGCCAAGTAATGCCCAAAAGTCCCACTTATTGAGGCCCTACAACATTTTGGGCCCAAAATATTTTCCTGGGTCCACCTAAGGGAGGGGGTGTGCCATGCCCCCCCCCCGGATCCGCCAGTGCAGAGGACATACTTTTGTATTCATTTATTGTTGAACGGGAGGGGGATGACCAACACTATAAACCATTGTCAGACTGAGTTTTTTGGGAATTTACACTCGAATTATTGTCCTTCACATGACAATCTTATTCAAAAGAGTTTCGTCACCATTTCTGCTGGTACCATATGTTTACGATGAAGCATTGTTTATATATCGAGGAATGTTTAGAACTGTCAAAATCGAAACAGGATATAAGATGTCGTAGAATCTGACAAGGTTTTCGGCAGATATTTGTATCGATGTTTTTTGTTTCAGCATATGGCAGTAGAAATGTAAACAAAAGAAAATTGGACTACCCAAAAACTTCACTTCGTATTATCACAGCGTGGTTGAGGAATGACCTTGAAATCTATTATTTTATTCGACAGAAATTTTTCAACGAAATACAAAAACTCAAAAATTGAAGCAATTTGAATGAAAAAACACAAGGTGCACGATATCTAATCTTTGACTATAATATCAAGAGGTATTAATAAACCAAAGTTTGACAATATTATGACGGAGGAAATAAAGATAATACAATACATAAACAACTGTATATACTACAGGGTGGGGCAAAAACGCCACTTATTTTTAAAATGCTATGACTTTTTTTTATTTTTGATCCAAAATCATAATTTGCACCAAATGAAACTTGAATGTTGCAATCTAGACACGCATTATGAACTGTTCACTTTTACTTAAATAAAAGATGTTACCAGCGTCTCAATTTAACATCCATGGAAAATAAACATAATTTCATAATGTACCTGAAGCGATGTGGCCTGATGACCACATGGAGCTAATAGTCCTGGTGCAAACCCCAGTACAGTGATTAAAGGGTATGAGGAGGTCTCCAAGAGATAGTAAAAAGGCACCTAATCTCAAATATTGCTTAACTGAAGCTGACTTAAGACAAGTTGATAGAAACTTAGTCAACATTTCATTGATACTGCTATATTAGCGACTAAGGCTGGAAGTCAAAGAGTGTGGCGGACCAATTTAACTCCTCTTTTAGATCAAATAAAATCCAAGTTGAAGGACGTTTTACATTGTTTTATTAATCAGGACCCCTGGCACTATAAAGCTGCAAAATTTGGTGTATGCAGGCTGGTTAATAAAATATGTTTCCAACCTCTTCCTAAAAAGTGGTTGTTTGATATTTCATACTCATTAAAAATAGCACGTTTTATGATGTCCATATGTTATAATTTTGTATCCTCCAACCAGCTCCAACACATATTCAACATATTCAATTTACTAACAAATTAGATACAATTGTATAATTGAGAATTTATATTACAATCAATAAAATACTACATTGGTTGAGTTTCATTTCTGAAAATAGTTGTTTGAAATCATTTTTGTGCATTGATGAAATCTTAATGTTTGGAGGATACAATATATTGGACTGCAAAACTTAAATCCACCACAAAAATAACAATATTTTGTCTGATGTTTTTATTGTCTGTCATTTGAGAGGTAACTTTTAAGGGAACTTTCTGGCCAAATCTTAAACAAATGATCCATCAGCATTGATATTTAACCAGTGTGTTGGAGGATACGAAATATTAGACAAATGGTATATGCATAGAAAAGGTATTTCATTGCATCGGCAACACACATCTAACACTGCCCTTTTAAGAGCTGATGCCAAACATATTTTTATGTAGTTTGAAAAATATCAACGCAATCGTTGCTCTGTATGTGCTGTAATGTAATCGGGTTTGTATCACCACAAACAAAACAAAACTTTGTTTTTAGACAAATCATCATTTTAGGTGTTTTTAAGAAATTATAAGCAATATTTTCAGTATACATCGCACGATAATGATAACCAGTTGTGATGACTTTAAAAGGCTTTAGTTAACTGATTTTGAAAATATCAATTATCGTAAAGGTCCATGTGCAGTATGGCAAGTGATATTAGACCGTCATATCTTTCACCATGGGTACTTTCTGGACATAAACACAGTAGTTTTCATTGAAACAATATTTTTTCTTTCAAGTGAAGTCTCAATGATAGTAAAATATCAATCCAACTCTCTGAAAAATTATGAATTAGACCCCACCTTGGCACTTATCTAAAAATGTTAGGCTCATTTTCTAAAAAAGAGGATCTTGTTTTTCTCGATTTAAACATATCGAGAGTTTCTTCTACACTATATTAACAATTTCTGAAAAGGGGATGCGTATTGAAATGAGTTAAAGTTAAAAACCACATTTCCCATGTTATTTTCCCATAGGGAAAACTCGTGCTATCCATTGTTTTCAGCATAATTTTGGTCATCGAAAATGGATATCTTAAAAACTAAACTTTCAATACCATTCTACTTTTGAAGAAGTTTTAGACCCCTTGTTGAATAATCTTTTCATGCAATAAAAAACAGAAAATGATCCTCGTTTGAGTAAATAAGTTCAACATTCTGAAAAAAATGTTGACATGGTGCCCCTATTCATAATTTTTTGAATTGTTCGATTGATATTTTTATCATTATAGGTACTTCACTTGAAAGAAAACACATTGTTTTAATAAAAAAAACACTGTATTTATGCCCAGAAAGTACTCATGGTTAAAGATATGACTGTCTAAAATCACTTGCCCTACTGCACATGGACCTTTGCCCATAAATAACATTTATAAACTCACTGTGAAACTGTACTCAAAATATATGATGTGAATAAGAGAAGCATTAACGTTTATATATAAAGTGCGTACAGGGCATACGTTTGTCGCAGGGCCACCTTGCACCTGCCTTTGTATCTGGTATCTGCGGCTGCCGTAGGGAATGTGACTGCAAAAGTATCCGACCGCAGCAATGCTAAGGCGACCGTAGATATGTTACTGACCGCAGAAATGATAGACCGTATGGTCGCCGTAGCAGATGTGACAAAAGTTATATTGTTGGTCTGTCTAGGTTGAAAATATGTTTTTTGATCATGTTTTGAATATTTATGTACCATTGGATTCAATGAGAACTAAAAGGAGTAGGTAGGTCCCAAACAATTTCAGACGATTCTAACTTGGATTATGAATATTTTCTGATCATGAACACGGGTGTATCTTTCAGACCCATTCATTATCTTCAAGAAAAGTATAATGATAATCATGCCCGTAGCCAGCTTTTTGTAAGGGGGGGGCTCGAACCTCCCCCCTCCCCGCAACCACCCCCCCCCCCCGAAAAAAAAATTCCCCATGCTAAACCAAGCCCCTTTGTATTGTAAAGGACAGTGGCGGATCCGGAAGCTAAGAAGGGGGGACCCACACTTCAAGTCAGGAAAAAATATTTTAGGGCCATAAAACCAAAATTTGGACAAACAATTAGAAAATCTATGGCACGTTTTTTGAAAATTTGGCCTAACATTGAAAAAATAAGGCCCAAAAAGGTCAAGTAATGCCCAAAATGGACCAGTCAAGAGAAAAAAATTTAGGGCCCTAAAACCCAAATTTTGGCCAAAATTCTGAAAATTTATGGCCCGTTCTTTGAAAATTTGGCCTAATCTTGAAAAAATAAGGCCCAAAAAGGTCAAGTTATGCCAAAAAAGGCCAACTTAAGAGGCCCTACAATATTTTTGGGCCAACATGTTTTCTGGGCCCATCCTTTTGCCGCGCAGAAAACCTTTTAGGGCCCTAGAACCAAAATTTAGAAAATTTATGGCACGTTTTTTGAAAATTTGGCCTAAACTTGAAGGCCCAAAAAGGTCAAGTAAAAATGTCAAGTAAAGGCCAACTAAAGAGGCCCTACAATATTTTTGGCCCAACATATTTTTTTCTAGGCCCATCCTAGGGCCGCGCGTAAAATTTTAAGGCCCCTAAAACCAAAATTCGGGCGAAAATTCTGAAAATTTATGGCCCGTTTTTTGAAAATTTGGCCTTAAATCAAAAAAAAATAAAGCCCCAAAAGGTCAATTAATGCCCAAAGAGGCCCACTAAAAAGGCCCTACAATATTTCTGGGCCCATCTTATGGCCATGCGGAACTCCTTTTAGGGCCCTAGAACCAAAATTTGGGCCTATATTTTGAAGATTTATGGCCCGTTTTTTGAAAATTTAGCCTAAAATTGAAAAATAAGGCCCAAAAGGTCGAGTAAAGGCCAACTAAAGAGGCCCTGCAATATTTTTGGTCCAACATTTTTTTCTGGGCCAATCCTAGGGTCCTAAAACCAAAATTGGGGCCAAAATTGTGAAAATAATAGCCCGTTTTTGAAAATTTGGCCTGAAATTGAAAAAATAAGGCCCAAAAGGTCAAGTAATGCCCAAAAATGCCCACTAAAGAGGCCATTCAATATGTTTGGGCCAACATTTATTCCCGGGCCCATCCTAGGGCTATGTTTAACAAAACACAAAGGACGATCATAAAAAAGAGGGAAAGGGGCACAAATATGTCCATGAAAAAAAGTGGGCCAACTTTTGAAAAATAATGCCCAAATTCGAAAAACAATGCACAGTAATGCCAGTTTTAAAATCTTAATTGCCCAGTGAATGTGGGGAAGAGCAAGTTTTTCTTCAAGGAAGCAAAAAGGTAGGTCCACATTTTTTCAGGAGATATCAGGGGGGGCTCGTCCGAGCCCCCAGAGCCCCCCCCCCCCTGGCTACGGGCCTGATAATAATAATTAAGTTAATCAGACTAAGTGATATTAAAGGAACGATGGACCAACCAACTACATTCTTTTTCAAAATGTTGACCTAATTAATTTTCACTAAGAATGCAACCTTTTATCATAATGTTGAATGCACAAGTAGAATGTGCTTTGAGATCTTTTTACCCTGCCGAAAAAATGCTAGCCCTCTTTCACCCCTGAAAAGCCTGACATGTCCGCCATTTGTGACAACGGTATCTGCCTTTACCGTTGTCATGCTACTCCGGTGTGTCTTTAGTAAATTTTGGGCACTTCCTTTGGAGCGATATCTGAGCACAATTGCTTTATATAGCGTTCAATGATCATAAAGGAAAACATTCGAGATTAAGAGACTCAAAAAACACTCAGAAAGCCATTACTATCTTTTCTTTTATGACTACCGAAATTTCATTTTCACCCCATAAAGATACAGTCATCTTTACCCTTTACATTCGTTCGACTTCACTTCCTAAAAGAGAGCTTCGTCTATAGTTTATAACGAGACTCTGCGCCCAGTGTAGCCATCTTCCATCCTTTGTCTATCACATGGGCAAGATGTAAAACGGATGCCTACCTCGCAAAAACATGTTTCATTTTCACGTCCACTTTCATTAAATAATATGTTCTACCCTGTATTAAGGTGGCTCGGGGTGCGTATTTGACAACTTTCGTTTTTAATCGTTATTTCTTACTTATACTGTGTCAGGTTGCAGACTATCTACGTATTCATTGACAGCCCTCCCCCAACCAGCAATACTGTACAATTGATATTGAAACAGTTTTTAAGAGATAACGATCCAACAAACTCATTTATTGTCTTTGATTTGAAGTGCTTATAAACTAACAATCTCTGAGTAAAGGTTTAGACCTTGGTAAGTTTCAATAGGGACTTATATTGACACGTCCGGACCATGGTTTGAAGGAGTTACTCTACATTTTATAATTGACGATTTGCTTTTCTAGACGAACGAGCACAGTGTGTAAACTAGATATAGTAAATACAAACTTTGCTTTGTTTTGAACTGATGATGGAAATTAAATCATGCACTAGCTAGATTTCGACTCGAATCAAGTGCAATAAAACAATACTATAAAATGTTTGTAAAATAAAACGGAAGTGCTGATATGAAGTTATGTACAGTTTACTTAGGTGTGTCTTTAATTCTATTAACTGACAGATTTGCCAATATTGGATTTAAATGCTTATCTAGCTGCAGAACAACAAATGATCGAACATGGGAAATAAGTGCCAGACTTTTAGAGATATTACGTAATTACAGATTACAGCATAAAATAGGTTTATGGCCAAATGGGCCAGTACTTACCATATTTATATACCTTTGTATCGCTATAAATCAATCTTAGATCAAACACAATTGTACATGATGTATTTCAAATTCACTCTGTACATAACATACTTTCGATAACAGGCTGGGAACATTCATGGTTTGGAACAATCACGCAGAAATTGGCCTTGGAGGTTGTTCAAAAGATTGAAGCCTTAGACAAGGCTAAGACAGCAGCACAGTGCAATAGTCTGTATGGTTACAGGTATGTTACTCTTAACATGGGCTTTCAAGAGAAGGGTATGCAACTCTGTGTCATAAACATGAGAACTTCTCTTGAAAGCCCATGCCCTAAATCATTAAATTTTCAAATTGTTGATTTAATTCTCATTAACGATACGGCATGGGCGTTCCCAGAGGGCGTTAGGTGCCCCCCTCCCGTTTTGAGCCAATCCCCGGGGATTTTGTTCATCATGGTGCCGATGAGGAGACTCGGAGGAAAGAGAACTATGTGCTCTGATGAAAGAGTTGGAGAAGCCAGGCTTCAAGTGCATGAATTCCCCTTTTGGACCAAGTAAAAATTTCTGTTGATACATCAGTCATAAATGACTCACAAAACAGTTTTCGTAACATCATTGGGCTACCCTTTGCATTTGTTCGACTTCGTTTCTTAAAGAGCGTTGTCATTGGGCACTCTCGGTTGCTGAACTTATGGAGGCCTGCTGTGTATATGATATGTCATACCTGTTCCCTCTCTATACATGGACGCCGGCCCACTGTTGTTATTGTAAAATGTTGTCAGTGAGTAATTGTTCCTGCAATGGAAAGGCGAGAGGAACTCTACAAAATCGTGACGTCCCTTCGTTTTCGATATAATTTAGAGTAGAGGTCCCTTGTACATATATTTCCGCTCCAACTCTGTTTAATGTTTCAAATACGGCTGCTACTTTATTTACTTGGGCTTTTAAAGGAGGCGTATGCTAAAGCTTTTTCTCGATTGACGTCTTATCAGTTTTACCCCCACCCCAATCTATTTTGACTAAAGCTATCTTTCTTTAAGCCATTCCATATTTTAAAAATCTGTGAAAATAAGCGAGATATTCAGTCACGACAGACAATAATGTAATTTGCAATAAGTAGTAGTCATATGTCAATGGTATATTGTTTTTTATGTAAAATTAAACTTTTAAAAAGTGTCTAACACAACCTAAAATATACGATGCTTGGATTATAAAAAAGTTTAAACTTTGCAAGGGGCCTTTAATAATTTTACTTGAACAAGGAAATTCACTTTTTACGTATTTGTACAATGGGGTCCGGTTGTCTGTTGTATCCTCTTAATGTATACTCTCTATTTAAAGGTATGGGAGTCGGGAGGCATTGGGGCCAGGGATAAAACTAACAGCTAATCCCATCATTACCCATCTGTTATGATGCAGCTATTTCAGGAACGCGCAGTATGCGTAGCAGCAAGGCCTAATCATATCAGACATTAATTCATGCAGTCTCTATTACCCACCAATGGTTTAAATTCTGGTTATGCTGACACTCGAGCACCATCAGTAGTTCAGGCCAGACCGTTCTTGCCGCAAGAGCAACTCGGAAAATTATAAGTCATTGTGATCTAGTAATGAAAATTAAGATTAATATAAACAACCACATTGATAAGGATGGTACCTCAGTGAACGTATATCTAGAGATATTGCGTAATAGGAGCTCCAGGACAAGATTTGTTTGGAACTAAACCGGGCCTTGTGTTAAAAGCAGCTTTCGTCTAAACCTTCTGAGTTCCGTATAAAAAACACTGTAAGTCAGAAGTCTGCAGTTGCCTATCGCTATAAGTCAGGATGAACTCCTAATGAGCACTAGAACGATAGATAATGTAACAATAATACTCCTCAAAACGTTACCTGTAATACAAGCGAGACATTAATCTTTCAGGATGGTGAACTCTTTAAAAGAGAAGAGAGTGAGAAATTGATGCGCTGGCATAAAGGATCACTTGTGCCGGCTCTAGTAAACTATGAAGCTGCGCTGTGCCCCGACGAGAGCACTGTTTGCCAAATGTATGTTCATGGGGGCATTTCTGACGACATTATGGATTATGATTAACTTCAATTGGGTCACTCGGAATCAGGAAGATTTGGGTAAGTGCTTTTAGATATGAATTCTATTTAAAACAGATTGAATCTTGTTCTGTGCAATGTGTTTTCATTTTGACAGGTAAATATTTTTGAACGCTTGGTTACCCAACGATCTTAGAATTTGGGTGAAAATTAGGATGAGAACAACAACTTAGGTGCATGGAACGAACTTTTGAAGTCAATTTGTTAATCTAATGAACTACTTTTTAATTTCTACAATTAAACTCATACGTCATTAGATATGTCGCTCCACAAACTGCGGAATGATGGATTATATAACCTTCATTGATGAAAGAAACAACACTTCCCCTCATTTACTAAATATTCCACCAGTTCTTGCATCTTGTCTTGTTCCTGGTCGTCCAGGGTTTCACCCCCCCCCCTTCATTTCCCATCGTGTACAAGACGAAACGTTATTGGACTTTGCAGGTAGTTTAGAAAATACATCACCAAGAAAATGCATTTTCTCAAATTTTGGGGCTCCCAGAGGGTAAATTTAAATTATGAATTTTACTTTTAGATTTTTATGAAACAAATTGCCTACATCATTATGTATGTTGTAATATTATACATTAATCAATAAGAGGTACTAAAGTATTACTACTACACATTTAATTTTAAATGTTATTATCGAATTCAAATATAAATCAACTATTTTAACTGAGCCAAGTATTGGATGATTGGAGGCAGTATTGATCAAATTACCGACTTTGCAAAAGACTACACGTGTTCACGTATGAAGACGAAGCTCTGAAGAAGCGATGTTGAACTAATGCAAAGGGTACTTTAGCTATTCTCTTGAATTCAGAAAAAATATATACCCTCTCCCCAAACCCTGCATTCTACTCACTTAGCTTGGAAACATGGGGAAGTTATATATATATTTGTCTAAATAACTAAGGGCATATAGTGTAATACACTGAGAGGCTAGTACAAATTGTACGTATAGTGTAAGCAGCATGTTCTTCAAGTCTTGTTTCCACTGTGGTATCCTATAACACATAGTCATGAATTTTTGTTTTGTAAATGAATCCACTGTTCTTTTAAAACAAATTAAGAATGACAGAGTTCATCATTCTTCTCACGATCTTGAATGACGTACGTAGGCGTTAACAAAATATAAAGAGACACTAAAATATATACAATTTACAATGTGTTTCAAGTATAGAAAGCCAAGTTAATCATAAATATGTTTGTTAATCGCATAACAAAAAAATCTCGTGAAAATCTCACTGAAAATTTACAAGCACCATGTCCATTTACTCTCTATGTCATCATAGAGCCATCTCTAATTTGAAAGACTTAAATTAATTCAGAAAATATGGTGAAATTTGTTATCATCTATTTATATAGAACGCTGTTTAATTATAAGTACATACAAATGTTGCCCTAATAAATTCTGAGCTGCCAGCGTTGTGAATTAATGTACTCAACAATTAACCCCACTCGTGACACATATATAACTTCCTTTTTTACATTGAAATTTATTTCTCCTCGACATGTCCATCGTGTTGAGTGGAAATTGAATAGCTGGACTGTCTGTGGTTTCATGTTAGACAAACGGTTGGTAAAATAACGCAATTGTGGTCTCAACCCTGTTTTACAGCCTCCCTACAATGTCAAGCTGCCAGACCTGACCAGACTCAACCCCGATCGAGTTACCCGTTTTTGCTGTAGGCCTTTGAGTCTGTATTACTGTTCATTAGTGTTAGGAAGTCTAAGTGAAGATGAGCATAAATGAAAAATGGTTAACAACAGATAATAGGGAACAGCGAATTCCAGCAATCATGCCAGCAATTTATGCCAGGGGTTGTCAAAACATTGACAAATAAACAACTGGTTTTCCTTATAGGCCTAAAATTACATCCCCTTCAAATGATGGACCCCAAATCCTGTCACGAATGGCCCTTTTCTTCACATTAAATGTATTAAATGTCAAATTTCCATAAGGATTCAATACACTGTTCAAAGGTATCCTTGCTGCACAATATTCATTTCCGAGTATGATTTTCTTTACCGATGTTTATAAGAGAAAAACTGACAAATTTGGTATCTTTGAATTGGTACACTAGGAATAAAATAATTCTAATGTGAAACAATTACCATCGTGTAATTGAACAAAATATGAGAACTATTAACAAAATATATCTAGTCTCAAAATGACATCTTTCAGTGACTAGAATTTAGGTATTTAGTTTATTTTCTGAGAAAATATCTAAACTACAAGCTTGGTTAGACTTGTATTTTATATTGGGGTAACAGTTTCCATGAGTTCCATCCAGCCCCACATCCAGCTTAGAATTCTATTATAGGATACCATGTACAGTCTAACCTGCAAGTGTGAACAGCATAAAGTACCACTATTATGATAACGTAGATAATAGAGTAATACACTTCTTTTGAATGGTCAAAAGTTGCCAACATTTTTCATAGACACTAAACAGAAACCAAAACAACATTTCTTTGGGCATTAATAAGTTCTTAATGTTTCCAAGCTTGAACATTTTTTCTGACGCAGGAACATGGAAGCTTGACAAAAGCCATTTTATGTTTGGCTATTATATGCAGGACTATGTGCGTCCCTGGCAAATAATTGGTGAAGCGGAGTTCATTCTTTGATGATTTGGTGTTTACAGGTTTCACTGTAACTCGTTTACTTAACTAATTGAATCCATCAATGGCTGATCTGTGCAACATCGTGTACTTCTGGCAAAATTTTATCCATTGCCTAACTACATTGCTCAAAGCACTAACTACACTTTGTAGAGGGTGTTACAACAACGTTCTATACTTCATAAAACATTTGTTAACATTAGTTCCATGAATGATCACATTTATTTGGTAAAGTATTCGAGAGATTGCGCAAATGGGTTGTACAATGTATGTAAAGGGTGAAAAATATAAGTCCGAATCACAATTTTTTGTGTAGTTTTCAAAATGTTCTTGAAAATCTACTGGCTTATTTAATGTTTTATAAACACAATTAATTAAACGAGTTTAAATTTCCTCATTCTGATACCAATCGCATCTCGTTTCATACAACACACTTGATTTAATGGTGATCCTCGAATATTCTGGAACTCAGTACAAGATTTGAACATAAAATATATAATTGCTCAGTGATCTCACACCTAGAAAGAAAATCTACTTAAATAGAAAAAATAAGGAATGCAGACTTGGCTTTTTACCAGCTTGTTTACACGTACCCTTTCAAAGTCTCAAAAATACAGAAAAATCAAAATGCTCTTTTCTAAGAGAAAAATAAAGTCCGTCGTTTACGTTCTATAATATTTTGACGCAACGTCTAAATTATCAACAGCATATCATATCTATTCATTTTGTCACCGTTACTTGAGTATAGTATTACAAGCAATATGAAATCAAACACAAAATATTTTCTTTAGGAAACGTGCTGATGTCGTCGTGGCATTTCGACTATCTTTAGTCTCTTGTATTACTGAGGGTTTCCTTGAATTTCATGTAAGAACATATGTACTGGAAGATAAATGAACTATTCATGATAGAAAGTTAGAAACACAGTGCTCGAGTTTTTTTGCATCCTCCGATCACAGTGCTTCAAAATCCAGAATATATTTTTTCTCTTTACACCCGGGGGAAGAAGGAGGTACGGATTCTGGATACCTGCTTAGGAGGATGGTTTTTTGTGAATATAATTTTGATGGTCATAAATACAGACAGGATATACTAATAATAGGTATATTTGGGTTAAGGATTTAAGCACTGGATTCAACGTTTTGTTTGTGGAATATATAACAATTTAATTATTGCTTGCCTCAAACCGACCAAGTCCGGAGGAGGATGTTTAAAGCTATCTTACAATTAACAAGTGATATAAAGCTCACTCAAAAAATTGAACCCGGTGCTGAAATCCTTTTCATAAATGACAAACAGTTTTATTTAGGAAATAGAATTCAACTGCAGCCAGGTTTATTTTCACATCTAGCCAATTTACATCCAGTATGGTTGTTCCATAAATTTAACTTTCATTTACCTAGAGATTCTATCTTAGAATGTCAATAAATTGGATTGATCTTCAATTTTTATTTTAAAATGACAGATCTTTATATAAAAATAATGTTTTAGGATACTAGTAGATTCACGAGGTTGAAAGTCAAGATTTGGCAGTTGATTTTACCTACCTCAACGACGGTAGTTGCCCAGAATGAAGTTTTGACCGACATAATTTTGAAACTACTCTCATGCTGTAAAACACAATATACAATAAATCCTATACAACATAAATTTTAATTATTTTACATTTTACTTACAGGAAAAGTCCACAGATTGGCAGCAAAAAGAACATCACAATACTACCAACTTCCATCACTGTACAAAGATGGCGCTGCTTCACACAACGAGCCCATTACGGCTGACTCAAATGATATTAAAAAAGAGGGCTTCAACTACATTCCTAACTATGTTGTTAATAACGATTCTGTCCCTTTCAAATGGAGAGGAATATTTATTAAAGGAGAAAATCTTCGCAATGAGGACTTAGCAATGCTCAATGAATCTCAAAATCAATCTGAAAAATACTCACAAAACATTCCGATGCTAAAACCAGGTAAAAGGAAATCAAAACGAAAACGTTTCAAAGACAGATTATTTTATAATCGTATTCATAAATGTGGAAGTACAACAATGTTGCGTTTACTAAACTATTTAGGGAGAAAAAATCGTTTCCACTATTCAACCTCAAAAATATATGGACCTAACCTAGTAAACGATTCTATACAGGTAGGTGACAGTGTCGTAAAGTATCATTTTTGAAATGCAATAATAAATCAACACTTTATTTCAAAATGGCCAAGTCTCTAAATCTAATGCTGAGAAATACGCAAACATGTTTAAAATCAGAACAATCTAGATTTTAGGCTTTCACCATGAATAGACTAATCTCTTTGCTGTTAATATTACGGTTAGAAAAAGTCATATTCACCTCTAACGAGGTGCCCTTGTCATGCTGCTCAACGAGGTGAATATCGGTTTTTTAGATCAGATTAGTTTCGAAAATTATATTTTTTTAAATGACACTAGTGGCCAATATTATTCTGATAGGGCGCAAATATGAATACTTTCCATTTCATTTTCACGTGTTATATGTTAAATCTATATAATTTACAGCTCCGTTTTGTCCGAGACTTTATGGGGAAAAGGTTACCCATGGGGCACGACAGACATCTCCAGTTTATAGATTTCGAAGAGTGAGTCACCTTTCTATTTAGTTTGCTCAATATGGTCACGAGTCTTTTAAATGGAAGGGGGTGTATTGGTGCTTTATATCACATTTTTGGATATTAGGGTTTTGTGATCTTGCTCTGTTATTTATATGGTTATGTATAGTACTTTTTTATTTTCCAAATGTTCAAATATTTGTTTCTTAATTTTAAAATGTCATTATTATCGTCACTGATTAGGTATAGTCCCAAACGGGGGACATTGACCCCCTCCCCACCCGTTTGATTTGAGCTAACAAATATTATATCATTATTACGAACTATGTTTTTCCAGTTTTGGTTTTCACAATCCTATTTACATCAACATGGTGCGAGATCCGATGAACAGAACTATATCATCATTCTACTACAGACGGAGAAAGAGAGTAGAAGCGCCATCTTTATATTCGGAAATAGCGAGAAATAGGGTAAATATTTTAAGCATGTTCCAACTTTCCAATGGAAATCTATCACAGGATACTTATGATTCAAAAATAGACGTTACAATAACGCTATTTAATTGTTTTCAAACAAGTCCATCGGTAGTATAATTGTTTTTAATTTCATTATTATAATATTATATTTTTTTCATAATTCAGACTCTAGATGAGTGTATGGAGGTAGAAGGAATGAGTAAATGCTTAGTTACAAACAGTTCGAAGGATAACATCTTCAATCCAGTCTCTCTCTATGTGAGCTGGTTCTGTGGCCAGCACGAGGAATGCAGGTACGTGTGGATGTAGAACGTGTGCACGTAAGGAGACAAGTACGTGTGTTTGTACCACATGTACACGTGAAGTACGTGTTTTTGTACAACCTGGGCATATTAGAAGGACAAGAACGTGTGTTTGTACCACATGTGCACGTGACGGGGCAAGTACGTGTGCTTGTACCACATGTACACATGAGGGGGACAAGTACTTGTGTTTGTACCACATGTATACGTGTTTTTATACCACATGTATACCTGAGGGGGCAAGTGCATGTGTCTGTACCAAATGTGCACGTGAGGGGGCAGGTACGTGTGTTTGTACCACGTGTGAACGTGAGGGGGACAAGTATGTGTGTGTTGTACTACATGTACACGTGAGGGGTCCAAGTACGTGTGTTTGTACCACATGTGCACATGGTTGGACAAGTACGTATGTTTGTACCACACGGGCACGTTAGGGGGGGACAAGCACGTGTGTTTGTACCACATGTATACGTGAGGGGGCAAGTGCGTTTGTTTATACCACATGTGCACTCGAGGGGGGCAAGTACGTGTGTTTGTACCACATATGCACGTGAAGGGGCAAAGTGCGTGTTTGGACCACGTGTGCATGAGAGGGGAGAGGAGATGAGGGGGGCATTGTGAGTATCTTATCATAATATTTAAGTACTTAAATAATACCACAATAAAGTTCTGAACTCATAATGCATTGTTAGTAGTTAAACTTTACATTTTGTTTTACATATGGCAGCCCGAATATGAAATGCTTGTGCTACAAGCAATAAGTTTATCGTATATTCGTTGTAGGCCTATCATGTTATGTTTTGCTAAAACATCCTGTGTAGCCCCAGTTCTGTCATAATTTTAGAATGAATCGAGACTATGCCATGGCTAGGGCAAAGAGAAACATCATAAAATACTACCGAGCGGTAGGAATCACAGAAGAGTTCAGGCAGAGTCTGGAGCTTCTTGAAGCGACGCTACCTAGCTACTTCCAGGGTGCTGTTAGGCGATATGACGGTAATCAACTATGGTCTTCATATTTAAAAACAATTTTGGAGAATGGGCCCATTTCTATGCCCACTGAGCAATTGATAACTGTCAGAGATGCTACTGATAAACATACTAAATGAATATAGCTAATGAATATGAATGCGATCTGGTGATGTTATCTCAATTGCCAATTAAACACCACTGCACCATAATGTGAAATAATTTATCTTATTCCTGTATTGCTCTATTAATGAGGGAAATATTAGATTATAAATACGTTTGATTGCGCCAATCCAATCTCTAGCACATCCATGTCTGATTGTTCCAGCACAATCCTCCGATATACACAGTTTACATGTTACAGTTTTTTCTTTCCAGAAATGCCTAAAAAGAACGTTAATATGAACAAACTTCAATACCCAACTAGAACCGAAAAAGAAATACGTTATTGGCTAAAAGACGATTACGAAATGTACAACTTCATCAAAGAAAGATTTTATAAAGTACTAAAAATATATTTTAAGGAAGACTTGGCTATACCCTAAAGTTCTGTCGTCTTATTGTGATATCCAATATGGTATGGCGTTTCAAACATCAAGACATATTTTATAAGTTTTAAATACTGATACTTAATACACCTTTAATTCTCATGGTTGTTACATCAAACCAAATAAAGTGATATGATTTGCATACAAGAAAAGAAAATTAATTGTTTGTTTTATCTTCACGATCAATCGTATTTGGTAAAAAGATACAAGATTACAACTGGTGTTTCATTGAGTCTTTGACAGGGAAAAATCATTCTGATTTATCAGAGCCCCTCTTTACCTAACGCTTTTGAACTATTCCAAGAGGATAGTGAAGGCTGTGGATCCCACAATGGGGAAAAATGAAATATCTGCAAGGATTTTGCGCTTGACGTATATACTGATCTATTAAAAGCGTTTGACACGATTGATTGTACTATTAAAGGCAGAATCAGATCTATAGGGGGGTGACAAACTGGCTTCTAGACATTTCACTCCTTTGAGTTTTCACTCCTAGACTGTTCACCCCCCCCCCCCCCCCGGGGTTCACCCCTTCTGGATATTTCACCCCAAGACGTTTCACAGCTTGGATATTTCACCCCTTACCCTACTATCACACCAAACTAGTTCTCACTACGTTAATAGGGATAATTTGGGAAATTATTGGCATACGTGAAACCCATTTAAAACAGCATTTTTCTTTAAACAACTTTATTTTTTCAACCCTTACCCTACTATCACACCAAACTAGTTTTACACGTTTGGTGATGACACACGTTGAATTCAACTGTGGCGCCATTCTCAATAAACACGCCCGGTGATCGTGAATATGGGACGGAGGGGGGGGAGCAGGCAATTTCTGCTAGGAAATTCAACAAATCTAGAAGATTTATTTTTTCAAGAAAAAGTTTACTATTGAATTGCTAAATGGATAGGCGCACGGTATGGTAGAATATGTTAGGTTTTCTGGTTTTTTTTGCTGAAACGATACGCATCTAAGGTATGAGATCTATTAAAAAAGGCGCAAGGCCATCAACAGGCACAAATCAACGTTTTTGCTATAAATCAAGCAACAATGGTCTGGACGACCTGTAATAAATACTTGTAAGTGATGTAGAAATTGAATAAGACTAAAATATAGACATATGTGCCTGAAATGCAAACGGAGTCGTTTTAAAAGAAATACCGTAAAACCAGTCTAATCTAACAGGTGTTAACATACAGGCATGTGAGTCAGTGGGAGATAACATGCAAAATTGGGACGAGAAAAAGGTGTTCACATTGAGAGGTGTTCGGATTAGAGAGATGTTCGTATACAGGTTTACTACACTACACATTGGTCTCTTGAAATGCTTTTTATTGTTATTGTCTGATGTAGCCCAACTTTCATAATGCTCAAATAAATTAAAATTGAAAATAAATCACCATTAATCGAATCAATAATCTGATGATGTAGGCTTACCTATCCATTGAATTGAATTGAATTGTAAACAACGTGTATCAGTGACATGTTCTCCATTGGTTTAAAGTGGCAATAAAGGATATCGAACGCCATATCAACCCAATTTCTCCCTTTTAACCCCAATTTAGTCGTGATAAGAAGAATTGATGTCTTATTGTACATGCAGAAAATGAACGATTGAAGTTTTAACAATAAAAATCAAAGCACTATTGAAATGAAATCAGAACTGTTGGATTTTTTAGAAAAAGGCATGACAAAGAGCTGAAGAGTGTTATGACCAAAAAACTTCAAAAATATATCAGAAACAAGTCAAATTCTTTACTTCAGAGAATTTTTTTTTTTAATTTATTGAGACTTTCGACTAATATCCCTTAGTCTTTTTCAAAATATAACAGCATGTATACATTTATGTGACGTCATAAACAGACAATGGAAAATTTAATTATGTAACAAATGACCTAGTAACCTAAAAAATCACAACAACAAAAAACATAGATACGAAAAAACGAATGACCTAATAATAACCTTAAGATAAATATATCATCGTTATGGTAACAATTAAACTCAAATATTACTATTGCATACTTTGCTATACCATTCTTAATTTACAATATTTTATGATACAAATTGTCCAACTGATACCCATTATCTCTGTTCATTTTAGGTTGCATTGTTTTAATATGAATTGCTTCCTTAACCCTACGTTTAAGATCATGATCATGATCATGATCATGATCATGATCATGATCATGAAGTAAAGAATTTGACTTGTTTCTGATATATTAACCAGAGAGATGAACTTACATAGGACTATTCAAAAATATACTTTTGTCATAACCATTCACCACTGTTTTCCAAAATATGGTCACAATAGTCACAAAACAGTGGCAATTGGTTATGATGTCACACTATGAATAAAAATAAAAGTAACGTCCAGTAGAGTTTGATGTAACAATCGTATTGAACGAGACAATGAATTCATTTTAAAAATTGGGCACACTTCAAAATGCCGGATGTCATATTTCAAGAACTCATGGCGCCGAAGCTGAATTTAGCCCATGGATTGGATAAACCAATGTCAAAGGACAAAACGAGGACGAAGTTAATCGGAGATACGCATCTACCATTTGATGTTGAAGTGCTTGACGAAATGCGTAAATCGGGACAATTGTGTGACATAGTATTGTTACCAAATGATGCAAAGACTGAGTTCCACGTACATGGGGCCCTTTTAGCCGGCTGCAGTGGGTACTTTCGTAACCTTTTTACCAAACGATGGATGTTTGGAGATAAACAAAGGATAAACGTTCCCGAAGCAACGACGGAAATGTTAGCTCTTATCATCAACTATGCGTACAGTAACCGACCATGTGTAACGTCCAAAAATGTAGAAAAACTACTGCCAATAGCACGGGATATAAATTACCCAGGTCTCCTCGAAGAATGTTGTATCTTCTTGGAAGGAATGTTGGCACCAACAAACTGTGTAGGTATTGAAAAATTTGCAGCATATTACGAATGTCCAAACCTCAAGGAAAAAGCACGTCAGTTTCTTTTGGTGAACTTTCATGAAGTTGCACGGGATAGTAATGAACTATTAACTTTGAGTTATTCAGAAATAGAATCCCTTATTTCATCTAGTCATCTGAATGCGTATTGTGAAGAAGAGGTTTTCGAAGTAGTTACTCGTTGGGTAGAGTATGACTATTTTAAGAGACAGTCACGTTTGCACGACTTACTCAAACACGTCCGATTGGGATTAATCCAGACAGACTACTTTTTCGAGAAGATATTTAGACGAACTATTATCTTGGAAAACCTCCACATGCTACCTTGCATCCACGAGGCGTGGGATTTTATTTGTGATCTTGATCGAAATGGGAATCAGAACGTCGACCTGGAACAACCCCTCGTGAAACCCCGAATCCCTAATGACGTTCTGTTCTGTATAGGCGGCTGGAGTGGTGGTGGACCTATCACCGCCTTTGAGACGTATGACACAAGAGCCGATCGCTGGTTCCGGAAAAACAAATACGAGGACACAAGCGCTCGAGCATATCATGCAGTGGTGACTATCAACAATAAAATTTACGTCATTGGAGGGTTTGATGGGACATCTTATTTTAGTAGCGTGCGTTGCTTTGATCCGGTTGAAAAATGTTGGAGTGACACAGCTCCGATGCACCAGGCAAGATGCTACGTAGCGGCGGCAATTTTAAACAAAATGATATACTGCTGCGGTGGATATAATGGACGGGCACGTATGGCTACAGTTGAACACTGGAACCCAGCAACTAACCAATGGACACTTGTTGGTAATATGAACCAGAAAAGAAGTGATGCAAGTGCCGATTCCTTTAACGGTTAGTCAAAGACACTGATTAGTCGATTAAAACATTTTGAAAATCCAACACGACATAAAATATGTTGGTCACATGGAACAGAATATTTCACCATAATGGAGGTAACTTGGTAAATTTTTGATGGAACGAATGTCATCGAGTATTTTTCATTTCTGTCAGGTTTTACCATTTCCATATTTTCTCACCTAAAGCCCGGTATACACCAATGGGGCAAGTTGGGACCTCCATAGACTTAACATTGCGTGGGACCTCGGGGGACCTTTTGGGATTTTGCCCCATGAAGTCCGTGGGACTCCATGGGACTCCGTGGGATTTTGCCCCATCTTGCCCCATCGAGTCCCATGAGGTCCCATGAAGTCCCACGTGGGACTCGGTGGGACTCGATGGGGCAAGATGGGGCAAAATCCCACGAAGTCCCATGGAGTCCCATCGAGAATGAACATGTTCATTCTTTTCATGGGGCATCGTGGGATTTTCGATCATATGACGTGTTGTGTGAAGCCCGGCATACACCAATGGGGCACGGTGGGATTTGATGGGACTACATGGGGCTTGATGGGACTCCATGGGGCATGATGGGGCAAAGTCATCAAGGTCCCGTGGGATTTCGTGGGATTTGATGGGGCAAATTGGGATTCGATGGGGCAAGTGGGATTTTGCCCCATTGGTGTATACCGGGCTTAAGTCTTTATTTATTGAGCATCCGATATAATACATTTTCCACTTTATTAAAATGGACGATTGACGTACAAACCCCTCCAGGAGGTGTTCTTTATTATATACCGATACAGATATATTAAGCATTTTGGGATCCACATCCTTTATCACTTGGAGTACAAATAAAAGCAGACATCACACGAGTTGAGCCTACGATTCAGCCAAGTGCTATACATTTTGATCCAGAGTCATATATATCGTGTTTCCATTGCAGATGTGCTGTACGTGGCAGGGGGATTCGACGGGGACAACTGTTTAAATTCATTGGAAATGTACGAACCAGCGTTTAATCAGTGGACAACACTGACGCCGATGCAGAAACGACGTAGTGGATTGAGCGTCGTGACGTTCGACGGTGAAATTTACGCACTTGGTGGATTTGATGGTGTCCGTCGAATGTCTTGTGGTATGAATAAAGAACTCCTCATTATAAGATAAACTAAAATATAATGGCAAAATAAAGGCTCATAATTAGATTACAGTTTACTTGTTGACTAACAGTCATCAGTAAAAGTTATATTATCGATCTTGTTTCTTGTTGGGTTTCTTTAAAGTTTTTAGTCACCCTTCCCTTTGGCATTTGTGCTTATATAAATTTTTCAGCGAGTACGTTTCATTAAATCTACCTGATATTAATTTGACAAAGTCTCTGTCAGGTTTTATGTTATTTTGAATTTGAATTTACAGGTGAGAGGTTTAATCCTAGCAGTCAGACGTGGACAGACATTCCGCCTATGTACACCGCCCGCAGTAATTTCGCCGCGGTCATCTTGGACGGCATGATCTTTGTCATTGGAGGGTTTAATGGTAAGGAGGAAACAAGTGGTAAAAGTAGGCCTTTAAAAGTAGAGTTAATTCATCGAAAAGCTGTAGTCAATGATGCAATTGTAAAAATTCCCATTTCAATTTCAGGTTCGTATACCATTCCTCATGTAGAGTGTTTCGACTCAACGTCCGAGCAATGGTACGATGCTACAGATATGCACGTCAATCGTAGCGCCGTTAGCGCATGCGTCATACGTAACCCAGCTTCAATTGCAGAGTTCACCTATTATGGCAATATGAAACAATCTGCAAGATCTGGGAATTCCTTGAATCTGTCAAAGAGTAATAGTAGCAACGCTGAATGCCCCCTGATTGAAAATCCCGGGGCAATTCTAGCCGATGTGTTTAGTACGCACAACTACGCAGAACACGATGATGCTGCTAATGGGGATAATGCCGGGGATGACGGCGCAACGGGAGATGATCGTGCCGAGGTTGACGCTACCTCAGAACAAATGGAGCAAGACATTTCGAACGATGGAAACCAAGGGGATGATACTGTTCCACATGATGAAAACAACAATCCAGTGATTGAGCCAAGCAATGTTCGAGAAGTCGTTGAAATGGATGATAATGTATAAAAATGTGGTCGTTGAACACGCGAACATAAAGAATATTACAACTTCACTAGGTCTCAAAGAAATGTCACTTTTGAAAGAGTTCATCAATAACCGTGTCCTTGAAATCAAAGAAACTGCAAGAAGCGATTGTTGAAATCAAGAATACAGGTTGACTGGGTAAATTGTACACCTCCAATGGAGAAGAAGAACAAGGAGCAAGATTTGCAGAGGACAAATGAGTAGACAATTTACCCAGAGTAACATCAGAGTATAAGTCAATGGTTGTCTTTTTATCCCAACATTCATATAAGAGATTTTCCATCAGCGGTAGGTGGACAAGGTAAATTGTAAACTTCGATGTAAATCAATCTTTTATGTTAATTAGCTAGGCTAACTAAAAATGTTTACTGAAATCGAACTACTAATAATGAGGTTATCGGATCGAGGTTTTAAAACGTTATTTCTTGATTCCACTTATTGGATATACACGTAGGCCTGTTGTTTTTGTTTTTGTAATACAAAATAGTTACATTGGAGATGTTATTGAAATTGTAAACCCGCTCTCATAAAACATAAAAAATGAATCGAAGCGTCTAGTTTGAGTTGTGTAAAGCACAAGAAATCACTGTTTAATTTTGATCTTTGAGACTCTCTCTTGGCTATATATTTTTCAGTAAAGAGTCTGAGTACTAGTATATATGAGCTGTGAATACCACAACTGGTAAATGGGGATTACGTATGAAATATAAAAATATTTGAACGAACATTCTTTTGTTTAATAACTAATTTTTCATCCCTGTACTGATAACTTTCAATAAGTAACACGTCCGAAGTCGGAAAATGTGACGGAGGGGGGGGGGGGGGGGTAGGCAATTTCTTATTTTGTAAATTCAGCAATTGCATTAATTTTGTTATGATAACTTCACTTAAAGTTATTACAGGTCGTGCAGACCACATTGTTGCTTGATTTATAGCAAAAAAAGCTTATCGGTTCAAAAACATCTTAGAAGACCTAACATATTTTACCATACCGTGCGCCTGTCCATTAGGCAATTCGATAGTAAACTTTCTCTTCAATTGGAAAAAATAGATCTTCCAGAATTGTTGAATTTTCTAGCAGTAATTGCCTGCTCCCCCTTCATGGGGCCTATAGTATCATAATATCATAATTATGAAGCAACTTGGCTCAGGTCCGTAGCCAGGGGGGGGGTTCAATGCCCCCCCCGCCTGGCCCAAAAAAAATGTCAAAATCATGCAGTTTTTCACCATTCTGAGCAATTTTTAAGTGATTTTGGCCATTTTTGGACCAAAATTTTCACAAGTGAACCCCCCCTGGAATTTTTCAAAAAGTGAACCCCTTGAGTGATTCCCTACCCTTTGCAAAAAAAATCAAAATTTTCTTGACTGATATGTGTATTTTCATTTTCTTGAAAAATATAGTGAATATTTTTGTAAAAAATATGATTTCTGGCTCATTTCTGTAACCACTCCCATCATGGCAGATTATTTGTGAAAAGTGTTCTTTAGAAAATGTAGTAAATAAAGCCTTAAAAACATTTTTCAAGTAGTACTATGTAAGTGAATTATGCATAATGTAATCCCTACTGAAATGTATCCAGCAGATTTATGTGTGATGATGCATGATATGTGGCATAAAAAGGGATTATAATCCAGACCCCCATTATTTACCCGTCTCAATTGAACATGAACCATGGTTCATTGAATGGACAAATTCACTGGGAGCTGTGTTCTCCACCACTTTTATTTTTAGCTGTGCAGATCCAAAATTGAATTAGGCAACATTTCCAGTCGCAAAAAGTGGTGGAGAACACAGCTCATATAGTTTTTTGGACTTCTTTGGTATTTTTTCTAAAACATTTCTGCCACCATTTTGGATACAATGCCACCTATTTGGGAGTTGCCAGACATGAAGGCTATCAATTTTCAAAAGATTTCCTAGGTGACTCTCTCCATGATGCCAAAGACTTGCCTTTATCCGAGGATAGTGATACTGGCATGGAATAGTTTTAAAATAACTAAAATATCTGTTAGGGGTTGGGTCAAAATATCGATGTCAATCGAAAAACGTAATTAATTTCATTAGGGGGAGGGGGTCAAACACTGATTTCATTAGGTGACGGACATCGATTTTCGTTTTCCTGGGAATTTCAATTTTCAAGATTATTGGTTTTGTTACAAGGGGGAGGGGGGGGGGTTAGACCTAAATAAATTAATTACGTTTTTTTGACGGACATCGATATTTTGACCCGACCCCTTAGAAACTGTACATTCAACTTTCAGCAACTGTACCTATTGGTACCCATAGAAATTCAATAAATACTAATGAATATGTTGTATCAAAGCTTTAGCATATTAATATCAAATATATCACTTTTTTGACAGTATACCAGTACATGTATTTTGACTAAAATATTTTCAAACATTTTCCTTGTGTTAAGTATGGGGCAAATACTACTCAAAGGCTATTAAGATACCTATTCCCAATGGAAATAAATGTAAAGTCAGGTTTAACTCATGATTTATTTTATTTAGGTATGTTTAAGGAAATTACTTGATCATTAGATTGATTTTACCAACTTGACCTATTTGCACCCAGTGACCTCATTGGCTCATCATTTGACCTAATTTTGAAATATTATTGTGAAGTACATTTGTGAGGATACTCTAGATGCAAAATAAGTTTGATTCTGATGGGGGCAGAAAAGGGGGTCTGTTGGGACGGTACCTTTTGTGGAGACTATGAGTCTGATTACACTTATATGATTGACATAAGATTGTGTTTTGGCAGTCGTCGAGCACCATCTATATTCCATAGATAAACGCAAAGTGTGAGATAGAATCCTTGCAGCTAATGGAATTAAGGCTATGGCCTATTTATACGATTTCTGTGTTATATCAGACAGGTGACGAAATGGATTTTACAATTAAATTACTGCGCCAACTACGGTTTGCTATCAGCTGGAAAAAAGTCGAATAATATGTCCACACATAGCTAGGCAATGTGTTTCTGGATTCCAGCCAAGCCAGAACATAGTATTTCATATAACTGCACTGCATTATATAATCAATCACCGCATCCAAGGTAATTCGTTGAATGATTGTATGGTTGTCAAGGTGACAACTGATTCTACAAATTGAAATTGATGCCAAGGCTTGAATTGATGCTTTTGCCAACTTTACCCTTTTCATTGAAAATATGTTATTTTAGTTTATTAGTTTAGTTTAGTTTATTTATTTATAGTGGTCAGTCTTAGAATTCAATTATAAAATATAAACAATTTTTTTTCCTTCTAGCGATTTCATATCTCTTAGGTAATCCATGGCGTAGAATAATGGAAATAACGTCACAACGCATGCGCGTAAATCGACATTTCATGGTCCAAAGATTTCAATGGAGAGCAGTCTTCATCAAAATTTAAAATCTTAATAACTTTTTAGCAAATAATTTATTTTCTTAGGATTCAACGGATCCTTGTTAGACCCAACGAAGTGTTCATTTTGATATATAAAACAGCAAAATCCATCAACAGATCTTTCGGCCTTTTAATGATTTAATTTTCGGGATATTTTGCTAAAATCCCCCATTGGCCGCCATTATAGACTTTGAAAAAACCTAAATCCTCATCATTTCATATCAATCGTTAAGTGATCTAAACAACTCCAATCGCTTAGGATTCAACGGATTCTAAGAGATCAAAGCTAATACAATATGTTGAAAACCCCCGTTTCAATATTTGCCGCATAATCTTTCGGCCTTTTAGGTTATAAATTTGTCAATATTTTGATTTTCGACCATTAATGACGTACTTGGATCCAAGATTCATTGTCCCGGGATTCATGACGCTATTTCCATTATTCTACGCCATGCTCAGGCGTTGTTTCCTCGACTGCATCCCCGCTGAGTGGACATCCAGAGTACGAGACGATACGATACGATACGATATACTAGTATATACAAAATAAATAAATTATGATATAATCATGATATGAATGATGTGATAAGTTTGTAAGATTATTTATAGATGGCAGGTCAAATCGAGATAATTTTACAATTTTTTCACGAGTGTTTTCGTTTCAGTACAATCCTTGCCTAGTTGCCCATTCAGTGAAATCAATCAAAGTTGGAGAAGTTGTGCGGAGACCGAAGATCGAATGAAGATGGATTTTAAACGGACATGAATGTCAGAAAGTAATCAGAATTAAAAAGAAACATCAAGAATGAGGTCGAGAAGAAGAGAAGTGACCAGAGCTCTACCATACTTCCTCATTTTCACGGGAATTTTAACTTTTTCAAAGTTGCCTTTATTTTTTCAAAACAAAATTCTTGAAAATGGGGAATTGGAAATAGAAATTGGTGAAAATGATTTTTTGCCATTGGGAGGTGACTTTGAAAAACGTAAGTAGATTCGGTAGCTTTATTAATCCTAAAAAATTCAGCTTTCAAAATCAGATATAAATTACTGTACATGGGCGTAGGGTTATATTTTGAGTTGGTACGCAAACTCAGGGATGCCTGATTGCGTGGCAGAAGACCGCGCATTGAGCAGGTCCGGAGGTATGCTTCCGTGGGAAATTTTTTTTCAAGGACGTTATTTGATTGAATCTAAGCATTTTTATCAATTTTGAATGTTGACAATGGTAAAAATACAGATACGGTAGGAAGGTCAATAAATTTGCATTTTAACACATTTTTAATTTTTCAAATTCATTTGGTGCGTATTTTGCGTAATAGGCGCTACGCCCATGCTGTAGGTTTATCCACAGGGTATGTATTACAAAGATTCGACTTTCTCTCTGTGTATGAGTTTGGTCGTGAAGAGGATGATCAAGGTTTTATTTATTGTTGATGGATTTTACAATAGTTAGTTACAATATATAAAAATTTTTTTGATAAAGACACATGGTTTTAAAATCTGTTTTCCTTGTGTATATAAATGTATATCTTTAATTAACTTTTTTTCTCTGACCTGAAATTTGGGCTCCCCCTTGTTGGTTCCCAGGTACACCCCTAACAGTTTAGTCTCTGCCTTATGGAGCATAAGTTCACAATCTTCCTGGTATAATTCACATTCAAAGATATAATGTTGGACTGTCTCTGCCCGATTACAGTGTACACATAGATTTGAAATGTCAGTTTGAACTTTTACTAGATGGTGATTCAGCTTTGAATGACCTGTAATGATTTGGTTTATTTTGCAGAATTACGTTCTATTGCTCTCACAGAGATTATTTTGTACATCTACAGTCTCTATGATCTCTGTGATGAACTTAACTTTTGTAGAGTTGTCATAAAGATTCTGCCATTTTTTCAAGGCAGTCTTTTTAATGGCTCTGTAGACCTCCTCTTTGCTTTGTTTCATGGAGGTTATTGGCAGAGTAATCTTCATTTGTGTATTCATTGTTTATCATTGTAAAGCCTCAATTATGTATCTATTATGATAAGTATACTGCAATAGATAAAATATACAAGTGATAATCCATGACACTTGTTGAAGTTACAAAACTTGTATGAGGATTAATCAGGAAGTCTAGAAGTAGTTCCGGCAATACATCGCAATATACATCGCCAAAGCTGATTCTGGCGATGCATCGATGTCTGAAACAAAACATTGATGATTAAAAAAAAATTTAATTTGCTAAATATCACCCTTTCTTATCTTATTTTGATGCAAATCGCTTACCTTTCTCATGTCTTATTTCATTTTCCTATGTTTTCTGATATTCTTTCGCTTTAAAACTGTTTTAGCTAGTCGAAATGAACCATTAATCTAAAAAAAAGTACTTTACTTTCATTTCATCGTTACTAGAAGTTCCCGGATGTACCAGCGTACTCTTATTAATTTGTTCTGTTCGGTATTACAGTGCACTTTTCTCTGACTTTTTCTCGATGAACATCGCAATGTGCATCTGTGTTACTCCTGAAAAATTGCCGATGCATCAATGTACGGTTATGGCACATCGCGACAACACTAGTCATGAGATATTTATAAGAAGCTATGGTTTGAGCTTTATTATACTCCAACAATGCCAGAAATGCACATTTTCATGCAAATAATTAGCCTCACTTCACAGTCGTCATGCTAGCTTTAGGGGGACCCATGCACCTCTAATTCAAAGTTATGAAAAATACCTTTAAATATGATGTTTTCTTTGACATGACTCTTTAGTCAGGAAATGCATTCACATATAAGGAAAACAGACATAAAATCTTGCGACTCCTTATCAAAAAAATATGGCTGCCATTTTTGTACTTTTGATTAACTTTACTGTTACCTTAACATGTTGTAATGCAAAAATGTATAGAATTGTTTTTCTTGTCCTTGATGGATGTAAAATGAATGTCAATCCCAGAAACCTACATCATTCATGGGCGTAGGGCTATATTTTGAGTTGGTACGCACACTCGTGGATGCCTGATTGCGTGGCCGAAGGCCGCGCATTGCGGGGGTTCCGGGGGTATGATCCCCTGCAATTTTTTTTTTCATGGACGTTATTTGATGGAATCTAAGCGTTTTTATCAACTTTAAATGTTGACAATGGTAAACATACAGATACGGTAGGAAGCATCAATAAATTCGCAATCAAATCAATGCATTTTAACACATTTTTAATTGTTTTCAAATTCATTTGGTATGCCCGTGCGTATTTTGCGTAATAGGCGCTACGCCCATGTCATTATTATTTGAGGCCATTGTGAAAAAAGCCACGTGAAATAGGAAAATATTTCAAAAACAAATTGCCTCATTGTAAGAACGGGCCAAGACAGTTTTAATTAATAATCAGATGTGTAATCAAATAAGCTTTACTTGTTTTACTTGCACCTCTGTTATTCCAATCCTGCACGAAAAGCATGCACAGTATTGGTATTTGAATGATTAATCATGCATTTGCGCTGGTCATTCTCCTTGACATGCTCATACAACACTGCAAGTTGTCAGGTTATTCTGATGCTGATACGGCATGTCTTTGACACATAATTCATCTATACCGCTTCAACATTTAATTAACTTTTTCAATGGTTATATTGAACTAATAACCTTTTTAACATCATATTTTCACTTTAAGTACTTGTATAAATTATTCATCTATTATTAGTAATTTTTTAAAGTTGTACTAAAACCAATTTTAGAATCTGTTATTATCTTTTATCACATACTATGTAGAATACTAGTGATTTGATTGGTTGCTTTCTATGACGTATTTCCCGTATCACATACTTTTCATATGATACAAGCACACGTACCACACATTGTCTATGGTAACGAAATGGCGTCATACAACTACATTCCATTCTTTCATTTGACGTCATATTATTTCCAGAACAAGTAAGGATTCAACGGTATGACGTCATATTATTTCAAAGTGAAATTTCAAAACAAACAATAATTATAATAGTTACCGGGAGTAACAGTACTGAACACAATCATAAAATGCTTCAAGATTCCTAAGCATGTGATAAAATCGTCATCACACGTTTCAGCTTATGTGATACAGGAAATATTCCACTCAGATAACAGTGTATCACCACTCAAGCTTCGCTTTCGTGGGTGATACAGTGTTACCTTTCGTGGAATATTTCCTGTATCACATGCTGAAATGTGTGATAACTGATAGTATTTAGCACAAATAACATTCCTTTTGCTTGTGATATTTCCCCACACAACACAATTTATTAAGATAAGACTGGCAACCTCTGAAATGTTTTATTTTGCACATTTTTTGAGGTCACCTGACCATGACAATTTTGACGTACTGTGTGCCAAGTTATTCAGGCGCTAAATCGAAAAGTTGTTGTTGCAAACTACTTCAAAGGCAGAACCAAATTAGAAATATAAATATACATTAGTTTCACAGTTGCACGCATTCCAATAGCCAAATAAATATTTTTAATTGATTGAAATTCACAAAAAAAAGTTCTTGGGGAAAGAGCACTGCAATATTATTCATTACATAGACAAGGAATTGATTGAAATGCATTTGTTAGACCCTATATCAATAACTGAAAATGTTAACCCAATAATTATATTTTGGCCTTACAGCATTACACTCGGGTTAAAAAGTTTTAATCCCCAAACCCTGGCAATGTTTGCTGTTATATAACTTACATGCTTTCGATTGATTCTGCACTCAATAGACTTGGTGCGAGTAGAAATAATCTTGATTTACGTCATTTAATATTCAAAATTCAGACAAACTGATGTCATATGTGAAATCTACGTGTAAAAGTACTTGTAGAAATATGGTTTCGAAAAGTGTTTATCAACTTTGAAAATTAAATTTGTTTTCAAAATGTGACTTTTAGTTCGGGTTGATTCCCCATACACCCCATGTTGCAAAATCACAAAAAGTGAAATATCTTTTCTTGTAATAAGACAGATAACATTTTCCTTTACTGGACATATTGTAATTTTCATAACTATTAAATACATAAGGGTTATATGAAAATTGAACCACTAAAACAGATGTAATTTAAGTTACTGAAGGGAACTTTCTACTATACCCGCCATGTTATCTGACCCGAACGAGCCACCTGGTGGTGAAATTGGTAACTTACTACTCGCATTTATGTTATTGCAAGTGATACTAAAACCCTTCGAGAATAGCCTCAATCATGCTAAAATTGGCTCAACATGAGAGTTTAGTACAACTTTAATTGTTGTTATTCATTTTCTGAATTACTTTTATTATGTCCCCACCACATAGTGTGGGGCCATATTGTCGGCCTAGGCGCGTCCGTCCGTCTGTCCGTCCGTCTGTCCGTCCGTCCGTCTGTCCGTCCGTACGTCCGGGAGTTTTCTCCAAAACCGCTACAGATATCACCTTCAAAATTTCAGGGATAACTTTTGAGTGCATACAGATGTGGATGAAAAAAAATTAACTCGATACCTACTTCCTGTCGGCCATTTTGAAGTCAAATGCTAAAATCCTTGTCTGCAAACTTTAAGAAAAACGGCTTCACAGTTGCTTTTAAAACTTTAACATCTTGTTCAGCTCACTTCATTCTAGATCTGATTAGGTTTTGGACCTGTTAGCTCAGTCATGTCAGCCATTTTGAATGTCTTAAGAAAAGTTAGCGCACGATAATACTTTGTATCATATTGAATGGTGTTTTTGAGTTTTCATATTCTAACTATTTAGTAGTTTTATAAATAATTTCAGATGTACTTTGTTGTTAAAGCCTATGTTGTTGTTAACAGTATTTATATGTGATAATTTTGTAAAAAGAAATCAGCAAAAACTCATGATCACTTTTTTATTGTCAGCCATTTTGGATTTTTCCGTCCTAAAATCTTGTCTGTGGAGTCTTGTCTACGTGTTTTCAGGTGAACCGTTTGGTGGATCAATTCTTGATTTTCAGGGATGATTCTTAGTATAAAAATCTAGATCTGATTAGTTTTTTGGCATTCTGGGTAAATGTCAAGGCAGCCATTTTGGATTTTCCGTCCTAAAATCTTGTCTGTAAAGTCTTGTCTACGCGTTTTCAGGTGAACTGTTTGGTAGATCAATTTCAATTTTTCAGGGATGATCATTAATATGAAAATGTACAACTGATTAGTTTTTTGGCATTCTGGGTAATTGTCAAGGCAGCCATTTTGGATTTTCCGTCCTAAAATATTGTCTGTAAAGTCTTGTCTACGCATTTCCAGGTGAACAGTTCTGTAGATCAATTTCAAATTTTCAGGGATGATTCTTAGTATGAAAATCTAGATCTGATTAGTATTTGGGCATTCTGGGTAAATGCCAAGGCAGCCATTTTGGATTTTCCGTCCTAAAATCTTGTCTGTAGAGTTTTGTCTACGCATTTCCCGGTGAACCGTTTGGTAGATCAATTTCAAATTTTCAGGGATGATTCTTAATATGAAAATCTAGATCTGATCAGTTTTTTGGCATTCTGGATAAATGTCAAGGCAGCCATTTTGAATTTTCCGTCTTAAAATCCTGCCCGTAAAGTCTTGTCTATGCGTTTTTAGGTGAACCGTTTTGTAGATCAATTTCAAATTTTCAGGGATGATTCTTAGTATGAAAATCTAGATCTGATTAGTTTTGGCATTCTGGATAAATGCCAAGGCAGCCATTTTGGATTTTCCGTCTTAAAATCCTGCCCGTAAAGTCTTGTCTACGCGTTTTTAGGTGAACCGTTTTGTAGATCAATTTCAAATTTTCAGGGATGATTCTTAGTATGAAAATCTACATCTGATTAGTTTTTTGGCATTCTAGGTAAATTTTAAGGTGGCCATTTTGGATTTTCCATCATCAAATTGTGTCGGTAAAGTCTTGTCTACTCATTTTTAGGATAACCATTTGACAGGATCACCCATAGGTGGGGACATTTTGTACACATTTGTGTTCTTGTTTTCTAATGTTGCCACTGGTGATTTCATATTGGGCATTTTTTGATTGAGCTAATTTATTTATTTTTTTAATGACAATTCAACATACGTGTGTTGATAGCTAGATAGATACGAGTTGTAAATCAATTATGTCATGTTACAATGTAAAGTAATAACCTGTCTAATATTTTTAATGGACATAAAAGGTAGTTACATGCAATAGTATAACCTGGGGGACGTTGAAGAGCATTTTGAATGAGATACTTTATCACTCTACTATACCTAACCCCTAGAAATGCATTAAAGATACTCTGTTTGTCTAATTGTATTGTTTAGTATATTATTGAAAGTACCTTATTAACATCTAATGTCATCCGATAAACCATTCATAAGGAACAGACAAATAAAAACAAATTACATAATCATTACCAATAAGCCAAAAGGGTTGCTCATGAACACCCAATGCAAGGTATAGTAGAGTGTTTATAGATCTCTTCTAAAATAAACTGCTCTGAATATCTATTTACCCCCGACTATTACAGATAAAGTTTTATTGTAATCGCCCATCCAACTGTCCTTCTGTCTGTCTTTCAACACATTGGTAGCTCATTTGAAATCCTCCAGTACAATTCAAATCATTTCACTTTTGAAATGTGTCTATATAAAGTCTTCAATTGTCCCATAAGTGGCGTCTCAAAAGCTCCCCTGGTTTCAAAATGTCAGCAATTTTGATGGCTGAAAAATCAGGTTTTTAGCTCTTTTGTCATCATAAGATTTGATATTTGTTAACTAAAAATCATCTTTTAATTAAAGGGTGGAACACCAGGAGTGGAACATCTCTGTTAGTGCAACACTTTTCTGAGTCCCAACACCAACTGACTTAATGTTAAATGAACCTCTATAAGTGAATCACTGTGTTCCACTTAGACAGTCTTTACTGTAGTCTTAGAATGTATTTGCTCTATATATTAAGAAGAAATTTACGATATTTTTCGAGACTAGATTGCTTTAAGCGAATGAGTCTGATATGCTTGTAATATCTTTTTATTCATTTAATAATTTTTAGATACCTCACGTAGACTTCTGGCCGATGATGGTCTTCCAAACTGCACGAAGGCTGCCATCACAAAATTCCCAAAAGGCTTCTTTACCGATGACCAGCGAAATAAGGGAGCAATCATTATCCATATTCTATTGGGAGCTTACATGTTTATTGCCCTGGCTATAGTTTGTGATGATTATTTTGTGCCTGGGTTGGAACAAATTTGTGAAGGTAAGTATCATATACACAATGCTCATTAATTTTGTTATTTGTCTCAATTCATCTAAATTGGTATAAAAGTAATTTAGTAATCTTGAATGGTACTTCTGACTTCTAGGTTTAGAGTTCAAACCAAATTTTCATTAAGTTTCAAGACATACACATGTTATTGGTTATACAATTACATTCTATCATTATGAATTAATCAAGAAAATTAGTTAAGAGCACATGTTATAACTTTAATTTTATTCCATATAAATTAACAATTTTTGAATTTGAAAAATCAAGTATGACATTTTGATTTACAGTGGATATAAGACTAGTATAATATTAGAAGCCAAAGTGGTTTAAATATTACACAGGCCCTTTAATAATTTCTGATATTATTACTGAATCAGAGCTGTTATTGTGATACTGGCATCATATAATGGTCATGACAACATCATATCTAGGCATTCATCTTTGGAAATAAGTTAATATAATGGTGTATATTCAATTATTGTGGTAAATGTATTAAAAAGAACTTAATTGATTCCTCCGTGTAAAGTATTGCCTTAGGGATACATTTATTAATGATGGTGTGGAAAGGATCAGTTTACATGGAAGTCCATGGAGAGGACAAAATTTGTAATAACCTTTACCTCTTTTCTAAAGGAATTGAAATTTCAATCATTCATCATATGGGTTGGGAATATAATGTTCATTCCAATTAATATTCCAGTCAATTTACAATGTCCTAAGCCATGTAAAAAGCCTTGACATTTTCAAAGAAAATACCAGGTTTCAAACAATGTCAATGCTTGTAATATCTTATTTCTGTTTTTACCAAAAGTGGTGACATACATGTTTATAGTCTCCAACTTTTTTATGAATGGTAGACGTGGTTGGTGTTTGGCAGTTGGCGGCTGTAACAAATTCTTACCATTTGCAATAACTTACAAGGTGGTGACATTTTGTCGTGTTAATGCCTTTTAAATTAGATTATAATATGACCTGTATTATAGATTTATAGTGCACAAAGGAACTGAATGGTTAAGCACCCATATTTTTGATTCCCTGTTGGTCATTCGCAAAACAGAAAAATTATGGGCATCATCACCATATATTGATTAATTTATAATTGCATATTATGTATAGTCATTTTTTCAGCCCATATTCCTTTGTTGTCATTATTTTCCATTGAAGTTTTCCATTTAGATCTTTCCATGTTTTGCAATTGCTCATTGTCTCTTTGCTGTTAGTTTTGCTTAAATTCCATAGACCCATGACAATAAAAAACCTGCCATACAATCTATGATTAAATATTTATATCCCATTGATTATATCGGTAATGTCATGATTTGCCTTTATGAAGAACAATTTACAGAAAACCTTGAATACTTGCCCTCACCCAAAGTTTGTCTTGTTGAAACATGTAATCCTGATATATAGAGAAAATAATAAAAAATGAAACTATATTCAGTTTGATATAGACATTATACATGTAAATGACATACACAGATGCCAGAAAACCAAGTTTCATACAAATATACAGAAATATGGGTGAATAAAGCATGTAGATATTGTGAGTTTTCAGTGACTGGCATATATAAGGGATTAGCTGATATAACACAGCTTTAAAGTTGATAAATTGCTTTCATTATCCACGCTAATTACGATAACTCTCTCTATGGTTTTAGATATATTTGCAGAGGGTAAGACATAAGAGGTTTGCATATACTTGCCTCTTATGACTTTCAGGGCTTTGCTCAAACTCATTAAGACTGAAATCAAGGAGAAGAAAGGCTTCAATATGTTCATATTATAAATGACTCCCAAGAAGCGTTCTTAAACACAGGAAAGGGAAATTGGATTTCATTCAGCATAAAGCATACATTTTTGCAGATTCCTTGTGATGTTTTGAGCTTATTCACAGTTACAATATCATATCCAATTCTAGCAATATAAAGAAAATGAAAGAACGGGTGATCTCTCACGATTATGTCCCTGTTGACAAAAAAAGTGAAAATAACGTGCTACTCTGTTGAGTCAATTATAAAATACTGAAATATTATGACCAAATCGGGTAAAGAATAACCCAGAACTGAGTAGGTAGGTACCAGTTTCACCATCAGATGGCTAATTCGGGCCAGATAGCATGGCAGATAGGGTAGAAAATTCCCTTAAACTTGAAAATTCTGGTGAAATCTCTGATTAACCTCTTTCTTATTAAGATACTTCATGTAGTCAGAGGGACTTTGAGCACCCTGGCCAAAATATCTTTCAAAATCATTCAGTTTTCATAATTCTGAGCTTTTCAGTGATTTGGGGTCAAATGGATTATATGAAAAGTAATCAAAAGTTGGCAACTGGCCTGACATATATATCCTTTAAGTTACTGGGAGTTACATGTACATGTACAGGTTGTTTTGTATACATTATGGTCTATTCATTAAAATATACGAGCATAAAGCTTTATACCTTGCATTCAAATGTTGACTTCTTTAAATGTTTTTCTGATCAGAGTAAACCAAAATGTTGAATGTAAACTTCACATCATTTTATGTTTAATTAACAGATTGCCATATTTGATTGATTGTTAATACATACACGTCTTCGCGAACACATTAAGAATACCAATTGGTTATTCCAAAAGATTATTCCATAAATTGGCAATTTTATCAAAATAATTCTTTATCCACCCCTAAATTTTGCAGCTGATTTGCAGAACATTCCAGTCCTGTTTCATGATTTTCATGTAAACATTGCATCTCCAAACAATTAATTTTGTGCAATAACAATAAACTAGATGCGAATAGAAATAATCTTGATTTACGTCATTAAATATTCAAAATTCAGTCAAAGTGATGTCATATTTGAAATCTACATGTAAAAGTACGTCAAGAAAAATGGTTTCGAAAATTGTTTATCAACTTTGAAAATTTAATTTTTTTTAAAATGTGACTTGTAGCTCGGGTTGATTCCTCATAGACCCCATGTTACAAAATCACAAAAACTTAAATATCTTTTCTTGTATTGGACAGATAACATTTTCTTTTACTGGACATATTTTAATTTGCACAACTATTAGATACATAAGGGTTATATAAAAATTGAACCACTAAAACAGATGTAATTTAAGTTAAAGGGTACTTTTTACTATACCCGCCATGTTATCTGACCTGAACGAGCCACCTGGTGGCGAAACTGGTAACTACCTACTCGCATCTGTGTTATTACTATATCTATTTTGACTGTGATTCTAAATAGAGTGAAGTTGACCACATGTATTGAAATATTATCACTTATTTGAGGTTAAGTCTTGGCTCCTGCCTCCAAAGCAGTCATATTTGAAGCTACATGTGAGTCAATGACTTATCACTTCATTGAATTTATGAATATTTGCCAGTGACCACATACTTGCTTATTAATCTCACTGAATCTGAACTTCTGTGCCTACAAATATATCATATCAGGACATCTAGGGAGTCAATAAAAGATATGTATATACATGTACCATGATTTAATAGATTTTGCATTAAGTTGAATATTTGTTGATGCAACTTGTTCAAAATCAATATAAGACTTCAAAAGTAAAGTAAACTCAATTTAACATCATATGATCAGATCACATATCATTGTACATGTAGGCCTACTTTTAAATATCAATAAGACTCAATTCTGTTGTCTAATGACTAGCTGGCCTTGATACATTATATTTCATCCTAATATGATAAGTCATTTTATGTGCACTTCTAGGTTATGTTTGTAAAGAACTAGCAAATGTTGACTTGATACAGTTTTTTGTATAATACTATATCACTGCATTTAAAACAGCATAATGACACTTTAATTTCTTTTTTGAAAGTTAAGATACTGATCACATAACTGATGGTAAACATAAAACAGAATTCTTATATCTATATACAAATTATTATACACCCATGTCTTTTCGGTTCAGCAGGTTTCTTTTGAAAGGCATGTTAATTTCTTTCAAGAATGAAGTGACGTGTCGTGTCGTATCTATTATGAGAACCTTCATTTTTCTTGATTTATTACATTTCTGAATTGAATTCAACTGAAATTCTATGAGTATTCATCTTTGCTTATTACAAAATATTAACTCGATAAAGTTTATAAGTGAAAACAAAAATGGCTGAAGTTATATACTTTGTACTTAACGACCCAAGCATATATATAATAAAGTACCCTTTCTAACAATTGGTTTCTTTAAAAGAGACCTTCATCTTCACTCTTTTGAGTGATGAGTTTGAGATAATCCTTCGATCTTATCTTACCAAGTCAGAGTAATAGAATAGGGTTATCAATACTGTCATAAGAACATGTACCTGACTATTTTATATAATGAAACTCCTACTAAAGGCCATGGACAGGTTTCAATATTAAACGCTACAATTTACCATTTACCATATTGACAACTAGTCCATTGCCCAACAACAGGCAACTAGTTTTGCCAAGTCCATTGCTAAGATCAAAAACTGGTTGCTATTGACAGTCAGCTAGCTGTGAGTTTCGAACCCTGGCAATAGGCCTCCTTTGGGGTAATTTAGACTGTTGATGAAAGGCAGAATCAGATCTATGGGGCTGACAAATTTCTAAGTAACATGAACAATTGACCTACCAATCTATTCCTTATGATCTCAAATACAATATCTCCCAAAAGAGTCACGATATGTTATAAATTGGTGAAGTTATAACAGATTCAAAGTGCAAAAATGAGTGAAAAATGTTTAAATTCTCCCAAATAATAAGAATGGTAACCATTCTTATAGAAAAATAATACATTATTGTAAGAATCTCTAAATTTCCTGAAATAAAATGTGCATTTTGGGTATTTTTAGAAAATAGACATGAAAAGGAATGACATAAGCTAGAAATATTCTAAAATTGAAACAATTTTTTGTTATGCTGCTCGCTAGATCCGATTCTCTCTTTAACCTTTGCTATTCAGAACCTTATGTATGTGGCACTTACACTCAGGGTAATAATACACCATAAACGTAAGATATAAA